TTTATTTCTAAACTCAAAACAGCTTACGGCTGTTTGGTACCATCGAAGACCAGGTCCTTGGCAACTGCTTTCCCCCCATCTTTGGGAGATATCGATGTGGCTTCCACGGTTAGCTTGCCAACACTGCCTGCCATTAGATTAGAGACTTGAACCTATGGGGGAAAACGATTATCGAATTCAGGCTCAGCTATTTGAACTTTAGAAAAAATCTGTGACTAGATTTACAAAGCATTTCAACGGAAGGATTCACAAATAGTTATGAAATACACCCATCTCTGATCAGCCTCTTCATTTTTTTTTTATATCTCCGCGGCGCAACATACATCTTGAGACAGTTTGCGGTACCCGCTGCTACATCTGATTGGACCGTCTAACCACCCCAGCAAGCTCGGTGGTCGAGTGGTTAACACATCTGCACTAGTAAGCAGGAGGTCATAGGTTCGAGTCCCACCCGAGTAAGCTTCTGAATATTTTCATAAGCACTTGGACAAGCACTGAATATAGAGTGTTTAATATACCTTAGAAAAGGGCAAACATCTGTGACTAAAATCATTATTTCTTCACGGGTCATTACGCACATGCAGCCAAAATCTGAATACTACCTTCACATAAAATTAGATATCTGCCATCTTGGGTTATTAATGCCTCTTCTGTTTGGGGAGAAGTTTGGCTAAATGTGTACTTGATTCACACTGCCATTCACGTCGTCACTCAATGGAAAGACAAAGACACCATATAGTCACCTTGACATTAGGAGCATCGGTGGAGACAGCCATGGTCCCAACTCTGGTAAATGACACAGGCACATGGAACTGGAAAACAAACGGCAGGGAGAATTATCAGGTATGGCACATCCTTCAGCACTGTGGTTGTCAAGCAAGGGCTGATGCAATTTACTGAGGGGTGCATTGGCTCTGACATGACACGGAGTGTTTCTGAGTCTACCGTCAGCTTACCTTGTTACTAGCCAGGGCCCTGGCTCCAATGACGACGCTGTAGGCATTGGCAACCGTCTGTGTTGACTTGCGGCTCAAGACAAAGTTACCGAGCATCACTGCTTGATCCTGTCAAAGCAAGAACATGATCACTGTCCATCGGACTTGTGGATGCACCCCAAAGATTAATGTTGGTTGCCTTTCTTATACCTGATTAATCAGTAACCAAACAAATGATCTGCAGATGACATTAGTGCTTTTGTGCTGACCATTCTTGAGGACCGAGATTGTTGCGTAAATGTTACATTTTTGTTGCATGAGTGAAGTGATTGCCAAAAAGGTTCTGCAGTCGTGCACAGACTGAAAATCTACCCTTGACAGAAATACTGTACCTCGGTTATAAGTGGCTTCTTGTTGATTTTTGCAGCCAGCTTATAAGCTCCATCTAAAAAGAGGCCACTCTGGAATAAGGTATCAAACTGCAGGGGAAAGAACATCATTTTTTTTAGTTATCTTTTAAACAACTCAACAGATCTATCAATCCTGTATGTGCTAAAAACCATGCAAGCTTTATAGCCTCATGTTTACAACTACTGTAGTTTCAGAGTTTGAAAATCAATATAATAGAAAAAATAAAAGCAATTCACAATACCCTGTGCCACAATACCGTGTGCCACGAAAAGGTTGCTAAAGGCAGGCCACTTGCCACTTGTAGAGTTGACAAAAGCATGGCGATTTGCCCCAATTTGTGTTTGAGCAAATGTGGGTGGACAACTTGGGGAACTGATCGATTCAACTGGGCACTCCTTGCCACACAAAAAACACCATCTCAAAGAAAACATTTCAAATCTTCAACCCAGACAAACAAGCACTGGGAACAATTCAAGTTTTCATACCCAGGGTAGCTGGTGAATAGAACTTTGTTGACCATTTCCCCCAAATCCAGTGAAAAAAGGCCCCTCGGTGGCAACCTCTTGTTAGCACACCGCATTGTGAATTGCTCGTAAACACAGGGAAAAATGATTTGGAGGAATCACACAGCTGTCAAAATGAGGTGTGCATTTACTCCAACTCTAGGGGTCAGTAAACATTAACTTGAAATTCCTACAGTCCTCCAAATTTGAACGCAGCCCTCTCTAAAAAGAAAAAAAAATTACCTGCAAATATTTTTCATCCACTTCGTCTGCCTGGGCAACAATATCTTCAACCAGATCAAAGTATTTGTCCATGTTTGTCTCAGCGGGGAGCAGAGCTGCAATATGTAGCGCGTAGCTTGAACTGCAGATAAAACAAAGACAGCTTTGGATGACCACCAAAAAAGAATTCCCCTCAAATATCCTAATCAACAAACCACCACATGGGAAGTGGGTGCAGTGAGAGTTAGGCGTAGCAGGCTGGAGTGACTCACCTAGTGACGCCGTCGTCCTTCTTGAGTGCTGAATCCAATGATTTCAGGACATCTGTAGAACTGACTGTTGACACAAATACAATGGCAAAAGATTCAAGCACAAGGTCAAAATCTACAGTCATTTTTACTCAGTTTAATACTTTTTAACCCCTTCGCGCCGGTAATTCTTTTGACCGCGACTGCTGGGCTTTGGTATGCCCTGAATGGAGGGCTTTGTCCAGCAGCAGGCCCCATTGAACCAGCAGCTGCAATAGACTGTATGTGTGGTATGCACTAATCCTCACACAAAGCCGCGGCTATCAACGGTTCCCGGTGCGAAGGGGTTAAAACGCGTTCAAACACTTTGGACCTTTCTGCTTATTTATCTCATATCTAAAGTATTTTGTCCAAAAAATCCAGCTTTTTTTTTAAATGCAAATATCAAAGCAAAGAACTGATGAATTGATAAGACGTAACAAGTGCTAATGAGGCTGTCGTCTTTCCTCTGCTTTGTGTCAAAAGGTTGCAACTGGGTAACACACGGTCATTTCAATTACTACAAATATGGACTTACATTTAAGGCCTAGCGTGGTTAGGGCTGACACAGCATAGAATAGCGTTGCCATGTCAACGCTGTCATTGATGGCAGATGATATCGATTGCTCATTAACGGTGACCTGTGAGTTGACAATTTAATTCATGACCATAAGTTACTTTGCAAGTCAAGTTCCATCAAAGCCTTGATTACCACGAGACATTAATCAAAACACTTGTTTGAGTTTACCACGCATTCCTTTAATTAAAGCACCATTTTTTTGCCAGCAGAAGAAACTGAACCAAAACAAGATGCAGAAGAAATATATCACAGATTTGGCCAAAATGGAAGAGGAATTGAATTCAAATTATATACTGACAAACCAAAGTGTGCACTACCACCTGCAAAACCTATTACCTTGCAGTTCTCCAGGGCCTTTGCAGCCGTGGTAGCATGGTATACTGACTCCACATTACTAGGGTCCAGCTTGGCCTTCAAGAATGTACAAGCCTCCTGCGGATTAGGAATGGGCACACTGAACAGCTTGAGACCCAGGATGGAGTAGTGGGCTTCGGCTAAATCAGTGAAGGGACGCGCCGAGGCAAAGACTGCCTTGATCTTGGCTTGGTCATCCAATGATAAGATTGTGATGGGGCTAAGCGCCTGTCCTAGGACAGTGCAGAGCAGGAACACCAAGAGTATGGCACCTAAACAAGGAAAGACAAATAAAGGCCAAAAGTTAAAAAAAAGACGGAGTGTTCCATATACGAGCAACACAAATTTTCCCTTAAAATACTACAACAGCCATCAGAAGTGATAACATGTCCTAAAATGTGAAATTCAGCTAAGAAAATTCTGAAGCATTTACTTAGAAAACGTGTAGGTTTTTACAGACAAGCCTCGTACTCGTAGGTTCGTGTACAGGGCCATCAAGTGTTGTTGTCTATGGAACTCTTTCCCAAAAGAAATATTTACCATTATTTGTAAGTCCAATTAACTTGGAAGCTGCCTGTAATTTTGTGTAGAATTTGTTTAAACGTATAGTCAGTATGCTAACTGTAATTAAATGTTTAAAATCATTATTGAATGATTATTGAATTATTAGGCTAATTTGTTTCAGTTTGAGAACATTTCCCGATTGTGCAGCGGTTCATTCTGTCCTTAAAATGAAGAAATTAAACAATTATTTCGTTCCATCTAAACATGACAAGCCACGTAAAGCACTGTTTTACACCGTGCAGGTGTACAAAAATAAAACGACTGAGTCGGTTGCCAGACGCCCATTCATTATTACATTACACGTGGCACCCGCACAGTGCCACAGCTTAGTTCTGAAAACTTCAACGTGTTCAAGCGTCCTCGTCAAATTAAGCTAAATGTGGGGCTCTAAGAAATCCTCCAAACAGCCACAAACTAGCTTAAACACAAACTCCCTTCAAAACTGTGATACAGTCACCATATTGCAGGTTCATTCTAGAGTAAAGCCATGTCATTTTGTTACCTCTCTCCATGGTGGATTTGATGAGTCTCCGGGGGTCCAATCAGGAAAGGACGGGTGTTGAGCGGAGTGTTGCCAAGTGAGGGCGCTATCGATTCCGTTGTGGTTAACTTCTCAGAGTTCTGGCGCATGGCGTGGGGAGTTCGGCTCAGTGCAGTTTATTTCCTGTCACAGAATATAATCGGTCTGATCGGAGGCCATCATTGACGCATTTTCATTAAATTTCAATAATAAACGTTTGGAAATGTTTCTGGAGTTTACACAAAGGCAAAATGGAACAAGGCCGAGGTGTGGAGCGGCTCACGCTAGAGTTTCTTGTTTATGGCACGTTCCTGAAGCCACCGCGGCCCCTCGGCGGCTTCAATCAGTGACGTATTTCAGACGCAACGTTGTGATTCAAGTAAACTTGCTTTTTGGGGTTTTGGTGCACCACCCGTGTAGAGTCTTTGCCCCCGGTGTGATGGTTTGGGTTTGGTTGCGTCAAAAGATAGGCTAAAAGGGTAAAATTGCACCTGAAGAATGTACCGTTTGTAGTGTATACATGTACATGTGTGTGTGTACATATAATCAGTACAAGCACCTTACACCACTGGGTCGTTGTGGTCCATAACTTTAATTGGGTAAGTTTTATAATGCTTCCCAAGTGTATACTCGATTGGTATCATCAGTAAATTGTTTCCACATGCATTATATGTCTACCGTAATCTTGTTTGTTTGTTTGTTTGTTTTTCAATGGTAGCATGGGGGAAATGCGTACTTCAGCACAGAACGTTGTGTGGGGTCGGGCCGAATCGATGGCCACCCTGTTATAGCGCAGCCAAATGTGACACACAAGTATGGATCACTGAACTGATGCCTGGGTGTCATGGTGATTCGGGATACGTACCTAGGCCTACTGGATATTATAAGCCATAGCAGTTTCAATCATAAGGTCACGGTTTGGAACTTGTGAGTGGTTTGAGAAATATCATTTGGCCGTAGTTCGCTGAAAGGCAAATTTAGATTCTTGTTTCATTATAACTGATCACTCCAGAAATTCCAAGTAGAATAACTCTTCAGTCGGTGTTTGATTACGTATTTGTTATTTTTGCAGGTTGGGCTATCCGTTTTCTTAGTTTTGGATTTTTTATTCTCTTCAACAGTAGGCTATGTCATGTATTTTAGTTGTCCAAAGACAGTAGTCAAGAGGGAAATCACTTCAGACATTACACAACACGATCGAGCACCATGTCTACAAAAGCGAAACCTCGCAAGAGGTCTTCCTCCAAAACAACTTCCGACACCAAAGGAAAGATGATCATCTGTAGCTTATCCGATGCCAAAAGCACCAAAAAATTTACTGTCAAGTCTTCCGCCGAGGAAATCATGGGGCCTACTGACACCAACCAGCCCAATGCTGATCGAAGCAGAAGCAGTGCGTGTGCCAAGAGACCAACTTCCAATTCTTCCAAAGAATCTTCCCCGTCCGAAGTTTCAACCGTCACACCCCCTGAAAAGAGCCCTAAAGAACCACTGGTGTGCATCTTTTGCAACAAACAATTCTCCAAAAGGCACTGTTCACACGAGAACGCACACCAAAGATCGACCGCACGCGTGCAATCTCTGCGGCGAAACATTTGCGCAGACCAGCACCGTCCTACGCCACCGCAAAATTCACTCCGTGGTCAAGCCTTTCGTGTGTCATATCTGCGGCAAGGCTTACCCCGTCAGTCACGATCTCAAAGACCACAAGGTTCACACCAAACCATTCCAGCGTGGGTAACGGTCAACGCAGGTTCTCCAAGAACTTTAATCTGGTGATTCACATGAGGACACACACCAAGGAAAAGCCGTTCTATACTGCCCTCTTTAATTAAGATGTTTCTAATCTCAATTTAGCAGCCAGCCAAACTCCTATCATTGACGAAATGGGAGTCAGGATATAGCTCCGCATGTAGCTCCGGTGTTTTAAATTAATATCTGGTCACGCTGGATGATGATGTCATTGACGTGGAGTAAAAAGGCAATGCTTCACTAGGCGCTATATACAGTTAGCAAGGAGCGAGAGGAAGATTTGTGCCCTGAAAATGTGGGAAAATGATGCACAAATTCACTGCGAGAAATCCACTGTCTATATGGAGGAGTGTAAAGCATGATTCTCAGATTACCGGTTAAAGGAGGGCGCTATTAAGAAATACAGTGGAAGATATGTAAACATAACACGTTCAAATGTCGGCTCTGTGACAGAACTTTTGCACACCGCAGGACCGTGGTATGCCACGAGGACTCACACTCGTGAGAAACCATACCTTAGTGACATTTGTAATACTGGTTTCTCAACCTGCAGTGGTCTCATTTTTCATAAACATATACACACCAGCGAGAAGCCTTACACATGTCACACATGTAACAAACGCTTCGCTCACAACACTATTTGACAATTCACAGTGAAAGTGCATACTATTAAAGGAGAAGCCGTTCGTATGCGACGTGTGTGGTGGATGGATCGTTCTCTCGTAAAACGCGCCTCAAATCGCACAAGAGGATTCACACCAGCGAGAGACCGTTTCGTTGTCACGTGAGCGAGAAAGCCGTTACGATCAATGGCAATCTGAAACGTCACGCGAAAACGCACGACACCATAGAGGATTTTGTTTGTGATATTTGTGGCAAGGCTTTTCATTTTAGCAGCGAGTTGTCACAGCACCGACGGAGTCACACCAACGAAAAACCGTATGTCTATGACATCTGCAGCAAAGCTTTCACACAGGGCAGCAATCTCAGACGTCATTATTAGAAAGGCGCATATAAAAGCCAAGTCGAATACCTCTAACTGTAATCTCTGACTCAGATATCTCTAACTACAGTATACGGGCTGACCGTCTGAATTTCATCTGAGGTGTTTTACTTTTTTGCGAACAAGTTTAAGGCCGTGTCCGAAATGGGCTTCCAGAACTACGGCTAGGTCTATTGTCTGCGCGTCTCCATGCAATTCCAATGGAGCGAAGACCTAGACCTAGCTCTAGACAAGAGATTCGGATGCAGCCATAGTGCAAATTGTTCCAAATGCACAAGCCCAAAGTAGCAGGAATGAGGGTGATCTTCTTTTGGGGTTGATACTTTTGTTTGATTTTGCGTCGATTGGGCCACCTCGCACTCATTCGAACGTCTTTTCATCCACTGGGGCTTGTAAACGTAAGTGAGAACTTCAGGGAGTTGGGGGGGACTTGCCCTCGGACAAAAACTTTGGAAATAAAAGGGGGAAAGGGAAGAAAGCGAAAGAACTAAGAAAAAAAAAAGAGGTTGCAAAGTTCCTGTTTGCTTGAAGAACTACATCTCACCCCTCCCACTGTTAATGCGTCAACATTTTGTTCTTGGACTCCCTTCCAGGAAATTCCCTCTTGAAAAACCCGGTTCCTCTCCCCCGGGAAACACTCGTGGCGACGCCCATACCTCCTTCTAATTGTGATCATTTTATTTTGTGGCAAAATAAGATCGGATACACAAGGTCCCACTTTATTAATTCCAATGACAGAGCCTATTAAAGCCGAAATCAGAAATAAAAAGGCAAAGTTTTACCGGTATGAAACTTAAAAAAAGAAGACCATGAGAAGACCGATTGTATCTGTTTTCTCTTTTTTTCACGGAAACCATTGTCAACCCAATAGACAATGTTAAAGGCATTGACACATGATGCTAACATATTGATTTCAAAAATATTATAAAAGATATAGTGCTTACATTCGTATTACTGGATATTCAAAGATTAAAAAACGAATAGGAACATTCGTGTTCGATTTTCCTTTCCTTCTGTTTTGTTTTCGAGTGATTTATTTGGGGAGGTCAGAGCGGACTCTCCCGTATAATGTTCCTAGGTACGCAAGCGACCCCCGTAAGCCAATGAAGTCACTTAATTCCGTTTGCTGATCTTATGATGGATCGTTGACAGATGCTACTTAGCGAGGTCTGGGGTTGACCTCCAGTCAGAAGATAATAACTGGGGACCCCAACATCCGCGCTGGCTCTAATAACTTTGATGAACTCTCCAGCTCCGACACGCCAAGCTGCTGCCTAACACGCCTCTTGCATCTCCCAGCAGTGTCGATAGATCACGGCTAGGTCACTCCACCGCATGGTGGAGGAGGAATGTTCCTTGATAATCTGTGTGATGATCTGGCATTCTCCAATTCCGGGGCGATCGACTGCCGCCCGTGCGTCAGCACGGGCTTAGACTTGTACCAGTCCTCTTTGGTATTCTGACCACGGGGGCAATATGCTCTAAAGCACGACCCGTGTGAAATACCGTGTAGAATTGCCACTTTCACCTGTCAGTTTCATTTACGTGAATAAGGCAGGGATGCAGCAGACGAAGCCACCGCCAGATGAACACCTTCACTTCCTACAATATCACCCAGACCAAAATAATACCGATTCAAGGTGTTCGGAGTAGAAGAATCTATGAAAGCCCCTGATGTCGGAATAGTTATAATCTATTTGCAGACGGCATACAGATTCAATAAACCCTTTATATAGCTTAGTACAGTTGATCTATTTCCTCACGTAGGAGCGTCTTCATAATCATCACCTAAATAGTCAAAACTGATTCAGAAATTAGGTTTTTATTGTGGAAATTAGCGTGGAATTTAGGAGGGCGGGGATTCAACATGATGGGGGGGTTGCATTCTGTGAAATAACACGGTACGAGAGAAAAACAATAATATAATTTTTTATTTACAAACAAGAATTCGAAGCCGGTCTTACAGTTCTGTCATATCCAGAGTACTACCGATCTGAAATCTTTTGAGAATGCTGAATAAACCTCATACTAAAATGACACCGAATATCTTCCTAAGATTAACATTATGGTGCCTGTGATAATCCGTCTGCTATTTTTTCCCAAGGGACATTTATCACATTTATTTTTGGAAAAGACTAAATTAATGAACAGTAAATCGCATCGTACGGAGGACATTTAAGTACTGACATTTAGTAATGCACTTATTGGAAGGACCGTACACGTCAGTCGCCTGGCGTTCCAACTATGCCATTAACCTCAGCGTGCGCATTATGCGCATCACGGCCGTCATTAGTTCACGACCGCAGCTGGTACTGCGTGGAAAATAATGTCACGTACAGACAGTACCTGGCGATTTCCACAGTTCACTGGAAACCAGTTAATGGCTTCGAGTGTGTCGAGACGATAGAAGAAATTAAAAAAATACGAGTTTCAATCATTGTTGGTAAATGTTTCTGCATTTCCCAGGAAAGGTAAGCGGACAATATTGTTATTTGATGTTTCAGACGATGTCTTTTTCTGTTAGGTCACTGATAATTATGAAGTAAAAGAGAAAACAAATTAATGACGAGAGTCTGCCGGACTATAAATGTTTCTTTCTTCGTCGCTGATTGCTGGTACAAGTGACGACATACATAGCAAAATTACTGACATATTATGTTTGTCTTACATATACATTGACAAACAGCGGTGCTATTTTGGCTAGGCTTAAGATTTCGTCGGTTATTCCAAGCTTTTTTGTATATATTCGATACTTGTTTATTTTTTGTGTCAAATTCGCAAATTCTTTTCTCTTAATTTTGTTGCTGGGTGTTGCGTTGAGGAAGCACCTTTCCGTTTTGCTGGGGGTCGGCGTTTATATGATTCTTGAATTGTATCATTGAAAAAAATTAATTGCTTGTTATGAAATAGGACCTGAAACTGGCAAATGAAACTGACCTTATGCTTTGTTTTAATATTTGTACTTATTTTAGAAAAGTCCTGCAGTCCACAAAAAAAGTATAAAATGGCTCACGCGGTTGCACACCAAGGCATGTCTGGTTCCCATGGCAACAGAAGATCCAAGCAATACCATAACCGGAATTTCGAGGCCCTTCTGGGTGTCGACAATTCAAGGCGGTCTGGTTCCCGCCCTCCAGTACTCCGCAGCCAGCGCTCCGGCCTCCCCATGGGGGCCACTATGGGTGTCTTTTCGACGTCATCCTCCACATACAGCGGCCAGTCTCGGCAAGCGTCGGTTACCTGCACGAAGCTGCTGTGCTTACGCGTGGTGTCCGTCTTGGCCGCGGTCGCCGGGACTATTATGATCTTCTTCGGCCTCTTCCTCAACACTGGCACGCCGGTCCTGGGGCTGTGTATTCCCGGGGGATTACTGATCATCGCTGTGCTGCTCCTATGGTGCGTTGTGTACGTGTGGTACGGCAAATACTGCTCCAAGTACAGTGATAGCGCGACACTAGGTGGACCCCCTACCGAGGGTGCCACCCAGCGGCATTCTAGGGGTGCAACACAGGACACCACTGTGAATTTACCACTGTCCCCTGTCATGGCCTCGTACGGCCCAGATACGAGACTCGACCATCAACATCCATCTACTCCACCACCTTGCTACTTCCCAGTGTGAGTACAAATGCACGGACGACAAACAAAATGCAATGCTCAGTGACACCAAATTTAGAAGGAATCTCTCTTTAACTATACACAACCAGTACCGGCCGCTGCCTGACGACCAGCAGTTGATAAAACATTTTGTAATAAAATCTTAATTCATTATGACAATGCAATCTCTGGCCAAACCTGCTTGAAAAAATACGCCGTTTCCAAATTACATGTTGTATACAGCTGGTAATAAAATGCATGCCAGATTAAGTGAAACTTTGAAGTTTTGGTAATCTCTGCAAAGCTAAGTTTTTATCACTCGATGAACTTTTCTTTCTCTAACTTTTTAAATAATCAGGGACCGAAGTCCTTCTTTCCCTACGAAGGGGCAGGACATGGAACAACCGCCTTCCACGCCTCCACCGCCGTACAACGAGGTTACTTAAAGGCGAGAAGGATTGTGATTTAATTGGATTGGTCTGACTCCGAGCAGAAATCTACCGAGACGCAGCGATTGGTTGTGGAACTGTGGATTGTTGCGTTGATCTCTGTCAAAGAGGGCGCACAACTGCAGTTGCAGATCCTGAGAGTTGAAGAGGTAGAAAGCAGACGAGCGCCTGTTCCGGTTCGATATCGACGGACAGCCGTTTCTTTTTAAGGGACTACCTTCTAGTTTACTTGTCAATTTACCTCAATTTGTAAATGAGCCCTTTCCATTATTTGCAGAGTCTTCCCCTGAAAAGCTCATAATTCATCTGCACTTTGAACTGATATGGGCGCTGTACATATTTTAGCAATAATTATGCGCATGCCGTTTGATCTGTACCTGAGCGCATTTGGTATAATTCTTTCAATGCATCGTTGGAATTTAATTAAAGTCATATTCAGACGGCGGCAACCTAAGCTACTTGTTTTTCAGCTCGTGTAACTTAAGAATTGATGAAGTTTTTCGCTCTTCAGTATGGAATTCTGCAGCCGGCATTGAGTTGTTCCCGCTGGAAAACACCCAATATTAAAGTACCTGCATGGACGACTCCTTATAACTAGAGGCGTCAGGCACAAAGGCGAAACTAACATTGCCATCTAACGTTGCTTAGATCCTGTCCTTAAATGTTAATTATTTGTATCGTAATGCATTGCTCTCAAATGCACAAACACAGTTATTAACTAAATAGAATCATAGTATTGTGTTTTCAAGAGCTGAATCGGTTGAAAAGTTGTGCCAATAAGCAATGCGTTGCTTATCACTATACTCACTCTGATATGCCATAATAGCAAAGGCGTTTCGCGCAACTGAATATAGTGAATGTAGTTCTCAGAGATGGGCTGGCAGATATACGTGTACCGGGTATATCATTAAAATCGATCGATAGCAGTTTTCATGTAATTTCCTTGTAGCTTTCCTTGTGGTGTTCGGTTGTCGCAAAACGTGCTCTTGCAGTAAAATACGTCAAGGTAATTCTGATTTGTCTATGGTCATCAAGTGACCCGAATTTCTTGATATAAATGTAAAAAACACCGATTCTTAGGAAAGAAAAGGTAGAAAAGAAACATGATGACGTAAAAGATAGGTGTGCGAGCCCCCCCCCCACTAATTGGGCATGTCTGATTTAACACTATAGACCTATTGTGTATTTATAATAGTTTGTAGGTATATCCAAAAACTGCAGAGCAGATGCAGTTAGGATTACGTGTACCAAATGTAAATTTCGTAAACGGCTACGTTTGTTACAGCGCATTAAATTTACCCTATCATGCACGACAGAAACACCTACGATATGAAATTTGTCGACCTACTGGAAGTTAAAATGATGTATGACACCGACTTAAATAATTAGGCCCCTACATTTTAAGGCGTTTCGGCACTTTTGTGGGCGGTCTTAATTATATCTATGAGTGGCAACCGCCACTGTTAAGGCTTGGACTCTGTTAATAGTGATGCAAGATTTCTTGACAATTTGGATAGCCAGATTCTGAATCGAGAATGAAAATATTAAGTTTGGATTTGTCAAGTCTTTAAAAGAATCCAAAATTCTGACCAAGGGTCGACCATCTGCTGTGTGTAAAGGTACAAAAGGCAACAAGCATGCTGTAACAATGTATAGGACGTAGGAATCGTAATAACTCCAGAGCTGGGAATAAATTACCATGTGATAAATTGCAATATTAATGGATTTGTTTGTCGAGATGTTTCTGTGCTGCTCCAGTTGCTATGCAGGCAAATGATAGTTAATCTTGCAGGATGAAACCCGACACCCGCGGAATTAGGCTGGATAGAAGGAAATGGAACGCACACATCGTGAAGAAAGATCCGCTTGGACGCGGTTGCTCCAAAATTGAACAAAGTGAAATTAGTAGTGCTTACAATCTTTGTTCACACTCACAGTGGTTTACAGGTTTGTGGTAACACAGTTTTAGAAAACGACCGTTGATTGCAAATGCATCATTTGGAAGTTGGTGATCACAGAACAGCGGCACTAATAAATGCTCAGTTTTGCAATCAATACGTGTCTCTCCACTGATGTTTCGGTCTGCCTTACATGTTGAACGTTTAGAACCGATGTTTAACTTGCTGAGTAACTGTAAAGCGGCTATTAAAATATGCGCAGCCTTGAAACGAAAACGGAATTTTCGAGGAGAGTGGAAGCCTCTAAGGAAACGATGGAAAATAAGAGAAAATAAGGCTAACAACATCTTAAATATTCGCCTTTCGGGACTAAAAGCTCAACAAGTCTGCGAAAAATGTCTTATCTTGTCACTCAGATAGAGTCTACGGGTGGTCAGAACGTCGATGCCCTCCAACACAAGGTTAATTGGTTTAAATTAAAGCATCCACCATCTACACACGAAAAGCCTTTAACCAAATCAAATCGTAGGAAAGGCGGTGCTCTTAAGGCGCATGGAAATGATCAGATTGCTGAATTGTTGAGGACGACTGCTGCCTCGTACATAGGTGGCGAGGCCCAGTCTCCAGGCTGCAAATTCTATATCGTAGAAGATGTTGATTCAAGAAACACGCAGGGAACACGAATACCACAGCCAGCCGCGGCGGATCGTTGCGTTGATGGGGACAATGATGACGCTGGTCACTTGATATTCCTTCGTTTCAAGGTGTCTGTGATAAACTGCACATCGCCATGCTCGACGGTCATGTTTAAGAACAAAGTGTGATCGAATGACTTTATGGTGTCGATGTACTAAGCGCTGAAACGGAAGTGGCAACGTGAAACTGCTGTCAGTATTTTGGATTCGTTAGGAGCATTTCTGTAAGTTAACTTGGGCCAACTTAGATGTAATCGTCACAAAACCCAAAGTAAAATTACCGAACAGTTTCAGCCCATTAGTCTGTAAGATGAACTAGTAGTGCGAATCACTTTTAATGGAATGTTAAAGGAAGCAAAGGACCGATTTATATCGACTTAAAGTATATTGCTTAGAAAGGCTGTGACTCAGTGAAGGGCTGGTAACACACGTGCTTTTGACTTCTACAGGCAAACGTGTTTTTCCAGAAGCAGCCGTAACTTTCGGCCGTGTCCGAAACAGGGCTTCCAGAGCTACGGCTAGGTCTATTGTCTGCGCGTCTCCACGCATTTCCAATGGAGCGAAGACCTAGACCTAGCTCTAGACAAGATATTCGAATGCAGCCTCAGCATTGGTCTCCATAATAGATTCTACAATGGAGATCAATGGTATTAGGTTCACCAACCGGGTTCTTGCACACGTTCGGCGCGCACTCGAAGACCATACATTCCGGGCCATAACATGTAACACGCCCTCTTTTGTTCCTGCTCAGAGCGGATTCGATCGCATTTCCAAAAAAGGGGAGTAGCCTACGCTGATAACTAAACTGCCCATCTATCGGCTGCCAACTAGCGATCTAATAAAAGATTATTAGGGTCCAGTCTGTAGTTGTGACCACAGAGCGTAAGAAGGAGACCAGACGTCAACTTGATTCAATAACCTGGAGCGTTGGACAGGATTCGTAATGGTTCACAGTATTTTGCTCGCTCGTAGAAAACAGGTTACTTCAAACGTGAATTACGAGCGAGTACGCATGTATATCCAATCGCAAGATGAATTGAGCATCGTTTGGGCGATTGCTCTTCGTCTGCTTATGAGCAGGCACACCGCAGAGTGGCGTATTAATCTGATTTGGCGTCTATTGGATCAACGTCCAACCCACGTAGCATAAAACAGTCGTTACATCAAACGGATGGGAAACGCTCTCGACACCAAGATCTGTAAGTGGGCCGCTGTCAGTGTTTTCTTAAGCCTAATGATTGAGTAATAAAGCTGAACAATAAATTTTAATGTAAATGTATGTCTTTCCGCGTTGCCTTAATGTTGGGTTGGGTAAAAGGTAATGGAATACATTTTAAAGCAGAAAACAGGAACATAGTTTCATGGTCAAGCAAACCGAACTGCAGCCAAAGCGCACTGCCATCGAACCTCCGTGATGGTCTGCCTGACTGCAATGATTCTGTTGATGACATCGTATACGTCAACACCATGATGTTGACTGTAGAGCCTGCAAAACATCTTATGAGAGCGACAGGCCTTGACGGTCAAGGAGATGTCAGGAGCCAATGCCATTGTCTTACACAGCGTGATTTGCTGTACTATGGAAGGTCGATGGTGCCTTGCTTTTGTTAGAAGAGGCTTATATTTACGCAAATTTTCGGTAGGCCTACTGAGTGCCAAGACACAAGAGATGATCGGCTTCCAATCTTAATACTCTCAAAGTCTGACTATGGCTCTTGTCACAACGTTTCTTGTTGATGAACCATAACGGGGACTCTCACAACACCCATAATCGAGGGAGTTTAACAAGAAATATTATATTGCATTTTAACCATTTATGGTAAATGGGATGTACTTATAACAATCTCAAACACACGGATGACAGCCGTCAGCAGAACTAAAGAAAAAAGTATTAATGGCTTCGATTTGTTTACAATCCGCGCGCACACTTCATTATTTTCATTAGAATTCCAGGCATTGGGGCCATCTCGTGTTTGCTATGGTGAGGCAACCGATCGCAAGGTTAGCAGTTAACTTGCAGATGCGTAAAATGGTTTGATTTAGACACGGCTATACAAGAACATCCGGAGCGGGTCGCAAGCGTATGGCAAGCCGATGTTTAAAATTCAAGGCAGAAAAAAATGACAACCAAAACAAAATAAAATTAAAAACAGATGTTAAAATACTAACGTGATGACTTTAAACGGACAATGGCGACAAGGATTTCAATTTCAAATTGTTCAGATTTCCTCGCGTGCTGAATGCATTAAGCGTTCGGCGTCCACCTCGTTCTTACACTGAAGTGTTAAAAGCCTGCACCCAGTGGTCATTCAAGATATTATCGCGATTCAGTCAACAATATCCAGCCAGAGGTTATCATCTTACGTATTTCAGCTAGACCCAGTTCAAGCATCTGCCCATCAAAGAAGTAAGTCAAACTAAAGTAAATGGAGAAAAGCAAATATTCTGGAGAAAGATGTTAAAAAGGCCTTGGTCTTATCAGAGGCGCACTTGACTCGTACCAACTCAGGCCTTACTGCTCACACTAGCAGTGATTGCAACATGCTAGGAGCGTCTGTTTACACGACACCAAAACCTGCTAACACAAAGCGTTCTGTAGGCTACATGCGAATACACTGCGGTATGTGATAAATGGTGTGACCTCCTAATTTGATACACTAAGGCTGTTGGCGTGAGCAGGCAAACAGAATACGCTGCCATTACCCTCTTACGTTTAAGCGGAAAGTTACATAAAAAGCATACAGCATTATTAATTCGATGACAAGAAAATCAAGGAAACCCGGCAACGAAATCATTACAGATGTCGCGTGAAGGGGATATCAACTTCAAACGGAAGAAAATTTCGCTATTCGTCAAAAAAAACGGGAACAAAACTAATCGATATGGAAGTTTCATACTATACATTGATGGTTAGTTATCGACAGGATATCCGTATACCTTAAAACCTTCATTAATTGCTAGTTACTCGTTCATTAAAGTCAAAATTGTAGTAATCTAGGACAAACTTAGAAAAAGCGTGGATACATCCACAAGAACTTCGTGCATCTGGAGGGCATGGCACTACTGACACTCCGTCGTCATTGTAAACTAAGCGAGTATTTTGGCACCCGAGCGTGCACACTCTCTTCTAGCAAGCAAAAAACACGGCAACGTCGTGGTTTACTCAACTCCTTTCTGCTGTTATAAATTGCATGATTCTCCAATAGGCAAATAAAATCTCCAAGGAAAGCGCGCGCACAAAATTGCCGCCCCTCGCCTCTCATCACGCGAAGGAGTGATAAAAGATATTCCATAAGGATGGAGTGCTTGGCTTCAAAGTCTTCCCCGTCATATAGGTAACATCTGCTGATGTGCCGTGCCGTTTCAACCTCTTCGACACTGATTAAACACAATTTCACATTAATGAAATGACTCGTGCTATTGTCACGTCGAGCCAGTGAGGCCTTATTTTTTGAACGGTAAAAGGGATTTTTTTGTAAAGGAGATGGAATAAAAAAATATTTGCTAACTTATATGGACTTTACTGCCTATTATGAGTAAAAATATGCTTAGATGAAGAGACATGGCAAATTATGCGTGGTAAAGACCTTATCTGTTTGATCAAACGTGAGCTTTAATCTCTTGAATCATGTGACCAAAACCATCTTTACATGTGATGAATAATGTAAGTCTTTAGATACGCTTCATTTACGTCCAATTTCATTTACGTTTCTTTAAAAAAGTAGAAGATTAATTTAAGACCCCCTGAGCGTTGGGGGCCCTTCCTCCACTGGAAAAATGGAAAAAAAAATAGAAGGTAATAAAAACAAGGCAAAGAGCAAAAGAAATTTTAAAAGAGAAATTGAAAAGGGTGAAAATCATCAATTTGCTAAAAAACAAACCTTGAAACTGACACGGCTCTGCAGTTAGGCTGAACGAGTTATCAGTTCGTTTGTGATGCATGCTTTGCCCACACGCCCCCGGAAGGCCCCATGAAAAAGTGTTTTGCCACCCCCAAAAGATCCTGGCGACATCGAAGAACTACCCTATCGATGCTTGACCTTCCAGCAGAGAGATGAAAAACACTGCACCTTTACTAAACTACGTGAGGGTCGGGCGTAATGAATTTTTCGATTTTTGAAAAGAGATAATCGATTCCATACCATTAAACGAAACTAGTTTTCGAATATATATTTCAGGCGTTCTTGAAGCCCTAAGCGCCACATTTACGACACATGTTACCGACGGTTACTGAAACTTACTGTGAGCGTTGTCAGCACTGCAGTATTCTCAAATAAACCACTTTAAGCTGTGGTGCCCCCAACCCTACACCATACCATCCTGGCATCCTCCACAATACAATTCCCTCTTGCTGGGATCAGGTAAAATGCAAATCTTTTGTTTGCGCGTAAGGCATACAGTTACGCCTAAAATTATTCATACTCCTAAACAATGTAGCGGTTTTTTATTTTCTTGAAACATTTCAACTGGACTGGTGGAACACTGGCTATACTTAATGACCTTTGGTTGGCATTTACAAATTAACTAACATTTATTTTGGTTTCAAATTTTTAGTATTTAAGTAGAAAACTTAAGATATTAGTCGTTCGTGCCTGCCCACAAAGATTGGTATTTTACTCCAGCCTCACAATTGAGACGACTGTTGGCGAAAATGCAGTGGTTTATGGCACGCCTAAAATCCTCGCCAATGCTACGTAATCATTCTAAGCTCTCTCGTTTCGTACGATAGACTATGGGGGAGCTGATGTAGTCATTGTCAGAGAGTGGCCAGCAAGGGAACGCATGCCATGGCTAAGCAGAATAAGGACTTTCGCTTGCGCATTGTGACTACTCTTAAGAAGGGGAAGCCTCTTTCTACGCAATTTTAAGTGACAGCGGCCACAATTGGGAGCATCACCAAAAAGAACGGTTCCACGCTGCCAAGGGAAGCAATAGGGTAGCCAAAGGAACCACCTCGTCTGGCAACAAAAGTATGTCGAGAGGCCAACAATCTATAAATCACCTACAAGGCTATGCTGTTTACCCAGCAAGAAATGAGACCGAGGGGTACCCCCCACAACATGTCCAATCCCTACACACATTCCAGACTATTGTTACTTAACACATCCCCCAAGATGTTTGAAAGGAATTCCCCCAGATTCCTGTGAGACAATGACCAACACAAAGCAGGGGGGGGTTCTCTCCGTCTCATACCTCGCTGCATATGCTATGCTGAAGAGTCTGAGCGAGCCTGGGACCAACATACCATGGAGGAAGGACACAGAAGGAGTTACAACTCTGGCACATCAGAGTTCTCGATGATGATCGACGCCGGGTCAGACGAACAATAGTACACATTCCAAAAATGCCTAATTATTGTCTGCACCTTAGCCGGACAATTGGGGCCAGTAATATCGTAACAATATATTAGGTGTTTTCTTTGCAATTAACTACAACTTATCACAGTGACCAGGAAACAGAAAGAAAAAATATCTAACATTAGATTAAGTTTTGCCGTGGTGAATAATTTTTTCGAAGACTTTGACGCACGTTTCTATTATCCATGCAATGTTTGTAATTTTATTTTGTCACTCCAAAACATCAGTTTTCAAATTTCTTTGTACAAATTTGGCTAAGACTGTCCAACAACATGTTGACCACCACAGGAAAGATAAGTTCACAAAAAACAAAATGTGCTGTTTCATCACTAGGGGGGGATCCTGAGATCTCATAAAATGCCTTTCCATACCAAAATACCAAAAATGATTCAAATAAAACACAAAACCTTATAAACAACTTGGCTATTTATTCCAAAAATATGAAAGTCCAGAAGAAAGCTTTCGTAAGGGCAATAACTGCAGATAAAAACTTAGGGCAGACCGGCTTCACAAGCAACTGCGCAAGCATTAAATTTGATGTTGTTGTCAGATTATACCAAGCACCAAGCATTAAATTTGATGTTGTCAGATTATACCAAGCACCAACGATGGCATGAATATTCAATTTCCTGTACTGTAGTACACAACGTTCTAAGGATGCAGATTACCAGCGAAGAATTGTGACGATGATCATGGGATACAAAGGGAGCATGGTTGTGAAAGAGGGGGTGCGTAGCAAGCATTCGCTGCGCTCTGGCTTATGAACATACTGGACATGCCAGAAAGCAGTAACAATTGGCCAGATGTTATAGCCCGGGCAGTTCAAACTCCTTTTGCGTCCTTCCTCCGTGAATATACCAAGGCAGGCACGTCATCGGAATTTTGCACAAAGGGGGGGAGGGGGAGTTCTATTGATGCCGACCAACAACGCACGCAAAAACTCGTCTATCCTTAGCAAAACTCACCTGCACAAAGATCTAAGCTTTTGTTGCAATTCTATGGTCAGATGAGACGAAAATGGAGCTTGTCGGCAGGACGATGTGCCTTTTGTTTGGCATAACATAGGCGATATGTGTTCTACCCAAAGAACACAGTCCCTACAGTTAAGCATGGTGGTAAGAATAACGTATAACGCTTTGGGCAAGCTTTCCAGCCAAAATGGGTCCGGAAACCTTGTCAAACAAAGTAGATCGCATCATGAAAAGGAGCAGTATCAAGAATGTGGAGGAAAACATCGAACAGGCTTTGGATAGACTATGGAGCTATTATACACAAGGAGGAAGCACATACAGAGATCAAAAGGGTCAATGATGGCCGCCGCCAGCACTACACGTGCTGCAAGGACAAAACAAATTACGCGCCGCTTGTGGGCTACAAAGGTTAATGCTAGGAGTTGCATTTGCAAAGGATCGTGGGTACCGCGCATGCGTGTCCATAACACTTCCGCATGTTCAACATAGCCGCCTTGAGACGGAGACCACCGTCATTGGAGACTTAAATCTCGATAATTTTAGTGATTGTTCTGATATTCCAAAGACAATCTGGTTACGTCTTTACATCCCCAAAACGTCTCCCTTAACAATAAACAGAATTACAAATTACATGTAATACAAATTCTTCAAAAATACGCACAAGAAAACTGAAAGAATGCAGCTGGTCCAGAGAAAAATAAAGAAACACACAAAAACATGGGAAGATTCGTTTTCCTTTCCGTCCACAACTGTCTTGGCATGAAACCTCAACACATTGTCAAATGCATTCTTGTGGCATGTTTCCACCTTCTTTTAACCGTAGGAACCACTAGGATTGTGACCTATGATATAAACATCGCAGTTCTTATTTTTGGTATTTGTCCTCTATCGCCGGAATCGCAAAATGGCATAACTGACTTTAATAACGCCCGACTTTGCCAAATAACCACCGCTGATTTGTAATTTTCGAGGGCATCTGCGGAGATCACTCGCTGACTCCTGAGGACTACTGAAGAGAACTACACATCTTAATTTATATAGCTGGTGTTGCCCTTACCCAACGTACATATTGATAAACACTGTATGCTCAGTGCTCAGTTGCTTACTCGGGTGGGACTCGAACCCACGACCTCCTGCTTACTACAGCAGACGTCTTAACCACTCGACCACCGAGCTTGCCGGGGTAGGCCGGCCGGTCTGAACTATTTTCGAGATGTATTTTTGCGTTAGGGAGATGTTAATTTTGCCCTTACTTAACGTATATATATATATTGATAAACACCGTATGCTCAGTGCTTGTCCGAGAGCATACAGTGTTTATCAATATATACGTTGGGTAAGGGCAAAACCCGTCACATAAATTAACATCTCCCCAACGCAAAAAATACATCTTGAAGTAAGTACGCATCTTCTTCGTGCATCTTTTCCACCATTTATTTACTCCAGTACGCCGCAGCGAAACACGGTGAGTCTGTGGGTTACCAGCTACCCGGCGGTGGCGATCACTGTGTACAGAGAATGTCTAGGGTCTTTAACACTAAGGCAGGTAACCGCGCCTTGCCTACGGAGCCAACCAGAGCAGTTAATCGGATTACGGTATGTCGGGACTTCTTTTTAACTCCTTGTGTTTAACAGCTCCATGGATAGACTTAGCCTTGGAAAGCAATGAACATTTTAACCAGACAATGATCCAAAGCACACTGCCAAGTTGGTCAAGAATGATTCCTGGCTAACAATGTAACTGTTTGGGAGAGGCCAAGGCAAAGGCCAGACCTGAACCCAGTCGAGAATCTATGGAAGGTGCTCAAGACGCAAGTGATGGCAAGAAAGTCTTCCAACATCAAGAACCTTGAGGCCTTCACAAAAGAACAGTGGGCCAAAGTCCCAATGGAAATGTGCAGAAACCTTGTTGACAAGTACAAGATCCGTTTGGAGGCAGTGATCACAAACAAAGGCTTTGCCACTGACTACTAAGCAAGGCTATGAATAAGTCTGGCAATGACACTTTTTTGTTAATCTCTCAACTAAAACACAAAAAGTACTAAATACCTTGGAATATCTCTGGCAGTAATTCCTTCAGCCTTTTGTCACCTTTCAAGGTTAATTAATCCAGAATAAGCTCGTTGCTCTACTTCATGTTTTCCGAATTTGCCATGGGCGTGAATCCTTTTTGGCATAGCTGCATAATTTTTACGTAAACTTTATAAAGACCCAGCATATTTTGGTTGTTCGTGTAAAATGAAAACAAAGCATGAAAAATGACATAGGCCTACATGTACAGTTCGAGAACTGTGGTGTTAAACCTTTTTTGTCTTGAAAGTTTTCAGTCTCAATCTTGGAAAATTATTCGGAGAGCCATCACTTCAATAGTGCCTGTAAGATATTATGTATCTTTGATGCAATGATGAATTCAAATTTGAACGTCAATTCACGATTGCACACTGCAAAACTTGGGTGTTAAATTTAACATCCGCGGTGTTATCAGACGACTACACTAACACTTTTCACTGGTGTTAAAATTTTGGTGTTATTTGGTGTTACTTGTAACACCTTCTAGTGCACTGTAACACTTACAGGTGTGCAAAGTAACATCATCAGTGTTAAAGTAACACCCTATGGTGTGGTAATCTGATAACACCAAAAAGTGTTGATTTAAACACCCGAGTTTTTACAGTGTAATGACACATTCCACTTCCTTTCAAAGAAAATTCTCTTCCTCTTTGTAATAGGTTTGAACCCCCCCGGCCAATTTTTACATTTCATAAGTGATGTGTCAGTACGGCATTTGATTTCAACGAGGGTGATTCAATAATTCTGCTGGGTTCAATCTCGTTTCTGAGCCTGTTGTCACGTCCCTTGCACAGACAATCCCGGACGAATCGTCGTCCGGCCCGCCGAAACTTCTCGTTCCTGATGTAGTAGATGACGATGTTCCAGTAGCTGTTGGAGAGAAGCAGGATCTCCGAGATGAAAATGGCCGCTGGGTGGGCCGTACGGCGAGTTACACCTTCGTAGCAAATGACTACGGCGAAGGGCAGCCAGGACACGGCCAAGACCGCAGTCATGATGAAAAAAGTAGTGGCTGTTTTCAGGTCCGATCTCTTGATGACATGGTGGTTCTGAGGACCTTCCATGACGCTGATTTGCCTTGCGTGGCGTCGCGCAATCTGGTACAACCGTCCGTACAGGAGGAGCGTGATTACGAAAGGGAGAATGCCGAAAATCCAGGCTGCCATTATTCCAACGCTGTCCGACTGGTCCGGGTCGTCAGGATCCATAAAACAGGTGTGGAAATGCGGATGGTAGACCGCAGATCGACCAGGTATGAAGCAATACACCCCGGCAAAAGAAGCACCGAGAGCCCACACACCAACAAGCGCCACTCGCACCCGTGGTATGGTCACGTAAGTCACGCTGCGCAACGGCCATACGATGGCAACAAATCTTTCCACGTTCACCAGCACAACGAAGATGCTATCCATCGAGAGAAGAATCGTGCTGCCGGCTAATGCCAGGCAGAAAGCGTCACCATACGGCCACCGGTCCACCGCGGTAGCACCGGTCACTGGTATGCATATAAGGAACCCAACGCCGGTATCGGTCGCGGTAAGGAACAGCATGCACAACCGAGTAACCTCGCCGGTATCATTGCTTTTCAGCAATACCATAAAGCAGAGGATGTTCCCAACAATCACAAGAAGTGTGGTAATTGTCAGCACTGTTGTCTGGATAACGATAACCCACTCTTCGCGAGCCGAAGTGCCGTTTGCCCAATCCAGCGTCTCCATTGCGCACATAGCACGATTGGGGACTTCGCGTTGGTTGAAGTGTAAGCGACACACAAAGAATTCTGCTGTATTTCAAATGGTTGCGATCAAAGAGCTCGTCTCTGTGCTTCTGAAAGAAATTAGGCCTATCTGCCGCTTCCCGGCGGGGTGTCACTGTCTATTCAGCGTTCGCAATTTATTTCGAAGCTTCGTCAATGGGTGTTTTCAAGCATAGGACTGGCTAGGAATGTGCTTCATAAGCTCGACATTGTCCATCGTTATCAAAAACACACATCATGCAATGCTTTCGTGCAACACAGTGTGATATCTCAGTGTATATAACTGTATCCCACAAGTCTACAGTTTACTTCCACGGCAAGACAAAACGTAGAAAATTCCTCATAACGTCGTGTTTCAAATGACAACAATTAGACTCAAAGTCGTGTGGTTTTACGTATTAGTACTAGACCAGGTTGTCCGCAGTATCGACTCCATTTCATCTGTCCTACTCTGATACTCGGAGCGACTCATCCCTCCAACACCGTTTGCCTGATGCGTCCGCGCCGCCCAAACGACTCTGTTCAAAGACACCTTGCACGTGATCTTCACTGTACCAATCTGCCGCAGAATATCGAATTCACTCAAAAAGACTCGCAAACGACACTGAATGGGAGACTACCTCTTGATTGTTGAATTTCCACACACTCGACAAGACGTGTCCTTAACGTCTCAAAGTGGTGTCGCCGCGAGTTGGCTTTCCTATATATAACCAATCTCGGGTTGCTACAGCAACACACCTCGTTACGGGGGCAGACAAAATGGTGTGTTTTCCCCTTGGAAACCCAGACAAGGTGCAGACATGGAGGCATGTCAACTTTATCGTCCAAATTTCCGATCTTCGCCAAAAAAAGATGAAGCTCTTTACTTCAGCCAGTTAACAGAAAGAAGCGAGCAAATGTTGCCGTGCAAAGTAATCAGCAGGATGGACTAATACCTTCTGACAGTGCGCATTAGCACGCCTGGCAATTTAACAACTTTCCCGCTAGGCGTTGTGGCAGCGTACTATCACTGGCTGCAGAACGTTAGCACGTCCCCTTATATACAATGCTGTTTCCTTTCGCAGTAACTTGTACAAAGGTACAACATCTGTCGTGAATTATGCATTTGGAGCAAACACGCTGATTTTTGGGTCTTTCGGCTTGACAAATGACAGGAGAGTTGCGTGTAGGTGAAATATTGAAAACACAAACAAAAAAATCCTTCGGTTTCGAGTGCTGCCACGATTGCGCCCTGCTTCACACACTCGCCAAGTAGGCACCGTGCACTCTGGGTTTCATAGAACACACGTCGATATTATGTACATTAACGGTGCACTGGCACCTGACTAACTGCAAAGTAGCGGACGCGACTCGATCACCTGACGCATTCGTGCAACAATTACGCATGCGCAAAAGTTTTGGATTCATGATGATGGGGGTAGTAAATATAAAAATGTAAAATTACATGCAAAAAGGATTTCTGCACAACAGGCAAAGACTTCAATGTGTACTTGCCCTGTACCGGTACATATTATAAAACTGATCGTCTCTCCATGTGTCTCTCTGCTTGGCAACAGTTGAGTAGATTATGTCAGTCGACATAGCAGGATCCATAGTTCATTAGCTAAATCCTCATCACGCACCCTGCAAGTGAAACTCTCAAGTAATGACTCAGTCTTCATTTTGACAGTTTCAAGACAGGAATAGCAGGTTGATCTGACAGGAAAAAAAACAAATCGGCAGCTTGACAGTGTTTTGTCACTGTCCATGGATTGAAATGACTCCATGGTGTCACTTTTCTCTCAGGAAAAATAAATGGCACGTCATAGATCCTTCGCGGCTTTTCGTTGCTCTGTGTCCGTTTGCTGTGGTCATAGATTCTTGGCAGCTTTTCGTTGCTCTGTGTCCGTTTGCTGTGGTCATAGATTCTTCGCGGCTTTTCGTTGCTCTGTGTCCGTTTGCTGTGGTCATAGATTCTTCGCGGCTTTTCGTTGCCCTGTGTCCGTTTGCTGTGGTTCCCATTCTTCCGATTTTTCAACAGTGACGGACATTAGCAAAGACCATGTCATCAATGTACGCTATGTCAATGATGAAGATTCAATCAAGTGCAATTCATGCAATTCTGCATGACGATTGCACGAAAGGCGGGCACAATACTTTAAAAAGAACGATCAGCTGAGCCCTTGAATAAAGTGCAACACTGCCATGGCAACTGAGAATGATCCCTCCTACAGCCAAAAGCCCAACATAGTTATTTTGTATGCCATTACCAACGCCTATCTATGAATTTCTCCCAACCACTTCAGTATTCACGGCAGCGATAGTATTTCCTGTTGACAACATGCAGGATTTAATGACAATGGATTGGGGGAAATCCCTGCAACTATATACAGACGTAAGAAAATAGTCGGCGTAGAATTTGTGGTTTAATGAAGTTAATAACGCTCGCCAAAAATGTTCCCTTACAATTCCTTTGCAACTGCTCATACACAATCGAATGAAGCTTATGAAAAAATGCGTGAGTTCGTGTATTTTTATATTATAGCCCTTTGTCTAGAGGTTTAAATTTCTTCTATACACGAGAAAGGAAAGATATTCAATACGTACTGAGAAATGTTGATACACGTACAAGATCATATTCTTTGATAATTTTTTTCTGACCATTTATGTAAAAATGGTCATTTCGGATGGAAAGGACCATTTGTGAAGCTGTGTCTAGGCATTTGAACGCATAATCAATAGACCTGATGATACAGATCAAGTGCCATCGTTACAGCTGTTGGTATTTCGGTTGGTTTCTGCCAAGATATCATCGTCAAATATTGTCATAAAATATCTGGCGACGTTTATTTACACAAAAGTCCCGCACATATCTCTTTTGTGATTGAGAAATGGTGTATTTTTGTACATTTCCAGAGAACTTATTGATTTTCTTTCCGAGTTGTGCAGTCACACGCTCCACAATTCAAACCGGTGATGCAGAATGGGTTCCGTACAATTGAATGTCTGTTCCCCAATCACCAGATATTCTGGTCCAGAATTCACAACGTTCAATTGCCGCTGGCGGCTGGAATTTCCTGGGAAGCATGGGTGAAAACAACTGTGATTGAAGAGGCTTGTGACATTTTCTGGTAACCAAAAACAGGACCACTTGTTTTGAGGAAACCAGCACACTTGCTGATCAAACTCACCATTACTTTGGTCGAAGTCGATTCTCTTGTGAAGGCTGCTTTGGAATCTACGGACACGATCCACTTTTTTTTAAAACAATGCTATCTTACCTTCAAGATTATGGCACGATGGAAACGTGCAGACAATTCTACATTGCATTTGCCTCAACAGCTGTTATCGTTATCAGATTGACTGCATACATTGTAGTCAGTGATATTACTTTTACTCCTGAACTAATTTGTTCTCAACTTGGCCATAACCGATAGCAAGTCTACATTATCAAGACGAACAAAGTACGATATTCTCATTGGCGACAACTTTGTAAAATCATGCCACTGTAATTAATTTCTGTCACGATGCGAGGGGAATATAACACGCTGGTCATCTGGTATGGTGCCTTTTGCTAGCGCGTTCTTCCATCCAACATAAAGACTACGGGGCCCGCAAGTGGAAATGGTTTGATAAGAGGTATTTCGGCGATGCAAAGATGACAGACTAAGTGAGTTATACCACATTAAAACCTACGATTGACACAAGCATTCCTGTGGATAGAAACAGTCAAGCTGTAGCCTTCAAGAAAGTATACCAATTTATTTGGATTTCGTCGATTTTGTTTTTTTTATACATGCATTAAAATACTAGTTTTATATATCCAATTGTTCTCACGAGACCGGCATAGCATTCAAAATTCATACCCATATGATAGTCCTCCGGCTGCGGGCTAAATTGAATTTTATCACGTGTTTTCCAAACGATTGGGGGGGGGGGTAATGCTGCCATTTCCTGATTGGATGAGAATGAGGTGGTGGTGGTGGATTGTATTTCCCCTACCTCCGCTCTGCTTCTGCCGCCTGTAGCCTTGAAGCCTTGTGGATGAGCAGCAGAATGGAATGATGATGGTTATGGCGACATTATTAAATGAGGGACCATTATAAAAATACCGAACAAAGATAACGAGCTTGGCTACGACCAGGGGCTTCGCACACACTTGATATGAAGTACTCAACGAGGTGCAACTGTTCATTCTGAGACCGTATAAAATATTTACTTCCATTATATCAGCTATCGGAGAAGGACAGTGCGAAGGTATCTTGCAATGATTTTGTGTCGCACTTGGTAAAAAAAATCTCATTTTTTATATCATAATTCTTCATAAAAGGAACGCACTATCCATGGCTGAGAACTGTACTTCTTGCACACACCCAGTGCTGAATGGGTCAAGTCAAATGTCAGGTTTTAACCGCTAGCTTTCCAAAGAACAATGCACTTTTAAAAGATGACATTAGACCAAGAATAAAATTTGACATCTGAATTTTGCAGCCTACCTGAAGTTACAGGTTTACGTCTGCAAGGATAACTTTTTAAGTTAGTTTATTTGGGGATTTTGACTCTAAAATAATTAACAGTGGCACCCACTTGGCTCCAACTAATTGGTTGGACCTCAATCTGCCTTCATATGGCGGTTAATGGACTGCATGGACATTTTATCTTCCTTTTGGACATGTTTTATGGAGGAGGCCTATCTCTGCGACAAGATAGCACTCTCGCCATCAACCACCGTAGGAGAAAACGGCTTGGACTGTACGTGACTCTCTGACATTATTGAATTATTAAGACTGCTTCATGAACTGGCATATATGGAATGCACGTTTGCTTGGCGCCAAATGGTGTTCAAATTGCTACTTTATCTGGCGAGCGGGGGCTGCGTCACGAGCCCAGAGTGTAGTCATGTCCGTTGCTGTGGCACTGCTGTGCACGCATTACGCAACTGATTAATTTTTGCACTCCTTCGATCGAACCCACACGTTCGTGTGTAGTCTAAAGGTAAAATCGGCATGGGGTAATCTCGGCACGGAACAACCGGGGAAAACGCGCCTTGAAATTCAGTAAAAACAGTTCAATTTGAAAGCTGCTCATTTGGAACCCAGAAAGGGAAGAGTGTGTCGCAACTGGCGCGGAAACCGTCGAAGGAGCTCTCATAATGTTGAAGCAGCCCAGACCCTTCATTTTATGACAGGTTTGCCTCCAAAAGAATGGTTAAATAGATGAAAAGTTTGCGGCTGATGTTGGTGAGGCTACGTTTATTTGAGGTAATGGTGGTGAGATGAATGTGTGGGGGTGATGATGTAGCAGGATTTGGGTGAGTGGTGAAGTTAGAATAGTAAACACACGGAAGTTGACCACTAATACATACATCATGTTTGTTTCCTAGACAGACATCAACATACACCTGTGCATCACTAAAGAAATCTCGATGTCACTGGACAATCCACAGTGCTGATTGATCTCCATGGGAATGATTTTTGCAATAAATATTTTCCAGCTGACACAAATCCAGTCTTCCAGCACTAATCACCTTTGGTCTGGTTTCCACACCATAGCCTCAAATTTGTTCAATCATTCTGGCCTTGGGTGCTCAGTTTCACTAATGGCCTGGAAGGGGAGGCACATTTCCCCGATCATCTCACGCGAACGATGCCATTATTTAATCACAACCAATGCCATGGACGTGTGTAACCATGGCAACGTGGCTTGTGTATTTTATCAACGGAAAAATTTGTGGCAGATTGTTCCGTACTTCACCTTGGCTCGAGAAAAAACCCACATGATTATGCTGGTCACGCTGTTCCTACTTCACATTTCACGTAAGATTTGTGATAAAATTCGGAATTTTTGTCAGTGATGTATACAGAGTCAAGGGAAATGCAAATCTTGGGTGAAGGTAAGCAGTTCGAGATTGCCTGGTAGCATCAGACAATATTCCAGGAAAACATAGCCCTTTGGGGTTACTATAATGAGAGTTCTTACCGTTCATCACGATTCAATTGCACAGTTTAATTAAAGGCTTCATTATGAAACAGGCTTGCAGATCGTCCCACTCAGGACACTTACACATTTAAGTACTGCAAAATTCTATCTGACAGAAAAATCATCTCACAAAATTATTTTTAATCTAAAAAACGTCTGTTAATTCGTTAAAAACAAAACAAGGCCACAGATTTTGTACCAGCAGAAGACATTAATTCATTCACAACTCAATTTCACATGCCTTTCAGTTAGAGCAATTGCTGATGGTTGAGTGTGTGAGTGTTGAATATTGAGATAAAAAACAGGCGACTACTAAAGTGTGGCTCTATTTCACTGTGCCCCATCCGTCACGTCATAATAATTACTGGAAACAATGAATGGTTGAATCTTTGTATCTTTGGAAATGAAGGGGCTGGGGGTCAATGCTGTAAGGTCAAGTATGGAGTGCTGAAAAGGAGGGTAATGTTTCATTAACAAATTGTACAATGTTTTCCACCTGTTACTGAACTGGAAGCAGTTTCTTTACAAACCCCCAAACTTGGAACAAACCTGTCATCTGGTAGAGAGATTTCTTGCCTTTTCTTTTGCTCAATTGATGAGGGATTGAAGAACTTTCATCCTCGGATTTCAGTAAACACAGTGACACTTATCAGACGAAAATATTTCATTTGTCAGAAATATTGGAAGCAGAAAGCAGACTTGTAATGACTCAAATCCATGATTTGACTCAAACTAAAAGCTTGACTGGAATCACCATGTTACAAGGACTAAATTCAACGAGTCACAAAAAGTAGTGACTCGTTACAACTCTGATAGAAAGTTGAGGCGTCCTCACCTCAACAGGATTGTTGCCGAGAGGTTATCAAGATCTCAATTCTGATGTCAGAAACTTGGCAGGCACGCGATCAAGGTGTCTCTGAGCTTCCTGCGTAGTGGCTCGTTCCCCTCACAAAAGATGTGAGTAGAACCCTCCTCCAGCTGGATAATGGTATCTTCCGATTGCTGTTGATGACATAAAATCACATGTGGGTCCACGCAGGCTTTCACTCCAGTTAAAAGGGGTACTGAGCGCAAGCCCCTTGCACAGGCTGCCAGGCATGACTATGTGCTGTCCAACTTTGATGAAATCACAGACTGGAAAAGCTTTGCACGGGAAAAGCGTGTGAATATTAGGGACTTTTCCCCATGTTGGGGTACAAATCCACCCCTTTTCCCATACTGAGTAAGAAATCTGAGGTTTTGAAGAGTTATGAACATTTTTCAAATATACAGGAAAACGGACTGGGAGAAAAGTGTGTAAAATGATAAGATATGATTGGTCCCGAGAAAAACATACCAAGTGAATGATATGGCCAGATGCTGTGTCCTCTACTTTAACATCAGTGATCCCATTCTGAAAAAAATAACAACAGGGTCAATATTAAAAAGAAAATTGCTTCTACCCAAATTTTCCTGACAAGGTTCTGTCACTTAATGAACACTGCTCGATATCTCAGAGATACTGGCCTTACCTTTGCCAATGCTTGTACCAACTCCTCAATTTCTAAGTTGCCATAGACATATTGCTTGGGGTGTGCGGTTTCTGCCACGCCCACATCATCTTCCCTTTTCCTTTTTCTGATTGGCTGGGAGGACGGTGTGTTTGGTTGGGCCTGCTTTGGTGGCTCCTTCAAAAAAACAAACAATATGTTGTCTTACTTTGAATGCTTCTATGCACTGAAACTGCAGGATGAAAATGTCATCTTTTGCATGTATTTGTGACCCGTCACGACAAAATGAGAGTAAAGTTCCATCGCATCCTCTTTTGAGGGTTCAAAGTCATTAATTGAAGTGGAGGACAATTTTTTGGTTTTGTATAATAGTTGGAAAGAGTAAATTCCAAATATTTGGCAGGATTTTCTCAGCAATTTGACAATAGCATTATTTGTGCCTGGTCTGAAATGTTGAAACAATGTCAGAAACAAAGACACAAAGCTGCCAGAATAATGTCACATTGTCACCTTATACTTCTACCCTAAGTGTTTCATGTACATACCATTGGAAAGCTCTTTCTGCTAAATTTAAAAAATACCAATATCTAAATTTTTGAAAATTCTGACTTTCAGCTCAATATGGGGTGACAGGTCACATTTTTCTGCCTGAGGGAAGCACTTATTTGTGCATGCTGCTGGGCCTCTTACGATTTGCATTTGCATTACATAATTTAAAACACTGATTGACAAAAACGTGACCAAAAAATTTTTTATGCACGTTGCAGGGCCACTTGAGATTTCTTTGATGAAGCCTATCATTAATTAAGCTTAAAGACGGCAGTTTTGAAGTCACACGTCAGGATTCCATGTCAGTTAACTTTTAAGTTTTCAACTGTAAATCAAATAAAGGGTTCAAACGACACCTACTCTATGAAAGGCTTCTAATCAAATCTATCTATCAAATCAAAGTATGTTGTCATGGTTTCTGGCAAGCTTTTCTTACCTGAAGTACATACTTGTTATCCCTAGCCAGGATTGTCCCTGTGACCGTGGACACAAACACACCTGGCTTGACCTCTGTGGGCGCCAAAGACCCTGCCAACTACAAGCAATGACAAATGAACAGAACTACATCAGCTTTGTCACACCTAATGCAGGAGGGCAATAGTGTCGCAAAGTCCCCACATTAAAAATGGATTGATCAAGGAGGTCGGGGTGGAACTGACCTTCTAAAATCTTAGGATTCCTACGGGATTAAGTGGCCAAGAAATACTAGCTGCCTCCAGAGGTAGCTAATTGGGTTAGAGCAAGCTATGACACCTGCACGTGGCAGGGTTGCACTCTGTCATTAACCACTTGCTGCCAGGGAGCCCGGTTTCGGGCATGTATTTTTGCATAGCCAGGGTCTCCGAAATCGGACAAAGGGAACTGGGCCTTGTAACAAAAGACCGTACTCCTGACAAAAAACCAGCCTGCTGGGAATTACCAACATTTTTTCACTCTCAATAGTGGAGATAATCCAGCTTTTTTTTGAAACAGTGTACCATGGTTAGGGGCATCCAGTGTGAGCAGATTACCACTGGGGACATTGAAAAGCACTCCACCACCGCAGCGATGAGCCACACAGTACCGCTGCAAGCTAATCTGGTCCCTATTGAAACGAGGTCAGCAGTGCACTGTGCCAGCTTCGTGAAGAAAAGAAAATTAACAAGGCGGCAGACCTGGCTGAAATACTCCAGCGTCAATAGATGTTGTCTGTCAGATTGGAGTAGAAACCAGACAATCCTTCGTGTGGGTGTAAGTGTCCAGTAAATGAAGATATGAATTTTAAAGAATTTTGAAAACAGAAAAAAACGATAATTATCCCATCCCTGCATCATCAACATTGATAAGAGATAACTGAGAAAGACTAGCTGCCTCTAGAGGAGACAAATGAAGAGTTCTCTCACCTCTGGAGTAATTTCTATTCTCTCAAGTCTACGTTTGATGGGTAGATGCAATACGCTGCCCCGCTTGTATGGCATAGGGGCTACCTCCTGACAGACAAAGGCAAACACAGTCAAACAATGATAAGACTGGTGCAAAATGAATGGCTGGAAGGATACATCACTTTCAGCATTTCAACACGCTGGAGACACTAAGTTCTAAAGAACCTTCAAGTGGACTCACCGCTTCCACAACGAGATCTGTCCTGAGAGGTTGCGAGGCAGGTGGGGACAGGTAGCAATCTGGCAGGGCTACATGAAGGGGCTACAATGATTGACAATTGACAATGATTAACAATGATAAGGACATTCATTTTGTCAAATGAACCATGAAACAAGGTAGCACTTGGGGAGTAAACGTCTCCCTCCAAATTTTGACAGGTGATTCTGATTTATTCACTGAATGAAATCAGGTCAAGCTGCACATTAATTTGAGTTTACCGATCATGGTCTTCATTTTGTGATAAATTTCGGTCGACTACATTGCCCCTTACATGGTCATATGACATTACCTGTTATTCTCAAAAAGGTAGGCCTACTTTTGGCTGACTGATCAGACTTCAGCTGTGCATAAATCAACAGGCTGTGGCTGAGGGCAACACGTGTCTGTGGGTGCTGGCTATAGCCACTAGCCAGTGGCTTCCGTAGATGCATATTTTCTTCCAGCCATAGCCATAACTTTCAGATGAAGCCCTGTAACAGTTGGCCTAGGCTTAATTTAAGGTGTGTGACATCCCAGAGTCTTAAATTCATCACAAAAAGAGACCAGTGCAAGTTGTGAAGACACCGGCACATTTACTATCTCGTGGAGAAGGCTTCCGTTTTCTTTACATTTCTCTACTGATTTGGTTGAAAAATTCTCGTGTACTTGCATAATGCTTTAATATTGACCAAGAAATGTGTAGAATTATTCACAGCTGTTTAGACCAAAGATCACGCGAATACACGTAAAACGTTGTAATCGCATAGGTGCCACTTGAGCAAGCGATACGCCTGCGCAATGCACATTAATGCGTAGGCGCAGGTGCCTAGGCAGGCACGTGCACCTGGTGAGCCTGCGGCTAAGCATTACCGTAAACCACGCAGGTGTATCGCTTGCTCAAATGGCGCCCATGGTAATTACACCTTTTGGGCAGAGTTATCCATCTTGCGCCTTCGGCGCTATACGATGTTTGGTTTAGACTATGTAACCTCACATGGGCTCAACAAGAATATGAATTGCTTCATACATCAAGAGCATTGGAAAACACTGAAATCTTTGAACTCTCATTGGATGGAAACTGGATAAATACATGTACTTCTGTGCATGCACGAAATAGTGATGGTAGAACATTATGGGCAAGTTGTGAGTTCACACACCTGCTGACTGATGAAATAAAGCATGCCAAGCGTTGGCATTTGAATTCTTTATGGCGCTTGTGTGCTACATACATAGGTTATGTTCCAAGCACCCTTAAAAATGAACAAAGCATGAAATGCATGATTCATGCAACTTGAATAATAAATATTAATTAGCTCCATGAAATAGTAAAGGTGCTCGTGGCTTGGCTACTTGCACTGGTCTTTTTACAGTGTCAACAGCATCCAGGGTGCCACTTGTGCCTTGACTTAAGGTTACTATTACCCCTAAGAAACATTCTGTTGGTATCGAAACACCAACTTGAGAAATGTTTAAGGTGTAATATTTGGAAATTAGTCCAGGGTACCAGCTGGAGTTATCACTAGCTGGGGAAGGAACAGTGGCAAGCAGACACTGGAGAAGATGTAGGAATAAATAATGTTCACCTTGAGTTCCTTAATCATCTTGGTTGCTTGGGGGAAGGTGATGGCCGTGTCGATGGGACAGTAACAGGCCTTCATGGCTAAGGGTTGGAAAGGAGCGAGGGCATCTAGGTAGGAAAAGTTGGGCTCTGTAAAAGTGACGAAAAACGCAAAGTCTCTAAATGCACGTACGTGACTCACAATGATCTGGATTGGTTTCTCTGTCAGAGCCTTACCTCCGTCTCAACAGAGGATGGCCTCCAGAACCTAGGATGTTTATGGTGTACATTAGAGAGAAGACGGTGGGGAGCAGTAATGGTTTCAGGTGTGGGGAGGAAAAACCCCTTAAAGGGTGCTCTGGGTTAATCTAAGAGAAGCAGGTAGGGACTGAGAATCCAATTTACATGTGGACTGAACAGGGAATCAAGCCTAGGCTGTAGAGGGGAAAAGCAAGGAAAGAATTACCAATGACAACCAGAAGACCTGAGGGGACACTTCATCCCCTTAGAGAGGATTACATGGTCCTACAACAAACCAACGCTGCCACTCCACCGAGCACAGCCAGAATGCATTGACTTGTGTATTGGTCTAAGGAAATAAAGTTTGGATGAGGAGACAAGACCGGGGTTCTGTCTCAAGAGCAGGCCCGGGGGACAACTAGAATGCTCATGGAAACACCTCAAACGTTGAGACCAGGGTAAATGTCCATGATCTCGAAAAGAATATAATATCAAATCAGCGCTCTGAAATAAGTGATTGCCGAGCTTTCGGTAACTGAGTGCCTTTTTCAGGGCAAGCAGATTCAGTTCATTTTTTTTTTAAAGGTTCATGATCCTCTGGCTTCCGTGAAATTTGGTGCCGTAAAACCCAGACTCACCAATGAAGACAACAGTGTTGCTGCTGGATTTACCCCACAGCTCCATGAAGTGGACAGCATCACCGAGTCGTAGAGAAGGGTGGCCCGTGAAGACCACGCAGGGTGTCTTGAACTGACTGCTGAAATCACCTGCAAGATGAGGAAGAGGGAAATACAGTCGACAAGGGGAGACTGGCGACTTTAGAGTTAGCTTCATTATTAGCCGACTTGACTTTGAGTTGACTTTATGACCAAAAGTCCACAACACAACAATGCCTCCAGACTTCAGCTGTGGCTTACCGTGTATGGAGGAGAAGTGTTTCAGTCGACCACTTTTGATCAACTCGGAGTGAGGAAACGGGGGCTCTGGGAGGAACACCTTGGACTGTTTCTGGGTGCACAGCCTGTGGGATGAGATGAAAATAAGGTTGAGAACAAGCTGATCAAGAGGGCACAATCAATCCTAGATTGAAGGTTGAAACAAGCAGCCACTTCAGGAAGTCATCATCAGCGATGCACTGTAAAGTTGTCAGAAGAGGTAAGTGGAGAAACGTGGATCATTATTGTATTATCACTGAAGTTTTCTGGACTAGGCTTATGACCATAATGATGAGAAAATGTCAGTGGCCTCAAACTTAATAATGGCAGTAACAGCGATGGTGGCTGCAACTGTCAACTGTGACCCTCATGACAGCATGACAATATGAAGACAGCCTTATTACAATATGAATAAATATCAGTATGACAACACGGCAATGACAATGGTTACGATGACAAAATGTCATTCAGTCATGCAGAGAGAGAGACACTCACCATTCCGAGAATATCTGTGAGTAAGCCAAGGAACTGTCAGCGACTGGAGACACAAAGAACATTGGCACCTGGGTCAACCCAACAGAGTCCATGTATCCAGACAGGCACTCAAACAAATCATAGATGATACCAGACGGATAGCAGGGAACCAGTACATTCCCTCCGTTCTTGATGGTTACGGCTGTGGGACCATGAAAATAAAATGCAAGTCAAATTTTACTCCCCTAACCTTTTTTCCAAAGTCCTCCAAAATCTACTGTGCAGAAACCTGTGACTACCTTCTTGGGTTTTCAGTTTTCAAGGGGAATCAGGCCTAGTAAAAGATCACAGTAACTAACCTGTACCTTCCTTTATCCTACAAAATCATTCACCATTCCTTGATGGGCTCTGAAGGATCTAGGACTAGAATTAAGGGATTGAATGGAAAGGAAGTTCAAACACTCACAAAGTGGTTCAAGTTCCTATGAAATTTAAAACTTGCTACAGTTTCTGAAGAATGTTGCCTGGGTTATGGACTCGTATCTGGGCTGAGCCTGACACTACAAACATGTCTTGTTCTCCAGGAGCTCAAACAAGACAGGAGGTGGGGTTGGGTGGGGTGGGGTGGGGCAGGAGAGTGGGCGGGTCACTGCGAAGGGTGACAACTCACTGAGGTTGCTGCAGAACTCGCCCAGCATGCTGTCCGGGTTGTGGGCCGGTGTCTGTGTGATACCAGTCAGTAGGAGTAAGTCGCTGTTCTTCAACGGGTCTTGGACGATAGGGATGGAGTGAGTGGTTAGAAACGATGAACTGGACACGTAACACACCTAAAATTGAAAGGGAGGCAACAAGACAGAACAAAGAAATGCACGGAGGCCGGAAATTTGCAAAGTCATATTTTCTGTATCACAGACCCTTTTCTGAATGACAGTGTGAGAGTTCTTTACCATCTAAAAATGTGGTGCCACTGGAAAATATGTATGTTCCTCCACCATAGCAGTCATGAATGAAAATGACGCTTAAATATCTTTAACTTCGGAAACGGTCTTGGTCATAGGTAAGAGCAACTGTTGTGAAGTGCCTTGCTCATGGATAAGAGTACGTGTGATTTTTGTTATGTGTCTTGCTCGTGGACAAAAGAAATCATCCTAGATGCAGAGGAGTCATTTAGTAATTTATGATGTTTGTTATTCCAAGCGGCTAACCTTTTCATAATCTGACTTGATGACCCAATTACAGCTTCCAAGACAGTAACCAGAACTGTGAGGTGACACCATCAATGAACCAAACAAATTCTGTGGAAATACAAAATTAGGACACACCTTCACAGATTTAATCCAAAGGGCTTACATAATTATAAGGGGGATCAGGCTGGTGTAGTGTTTTTTTCCTCACCTTAAACCTCTGGGGCTCTCTGGCTTGGTGGATTTGGTTTTCAGTCCCGACCTGAGTCCGTGGGGTATCCCTGAAACATTTATCTGGGGTTTTCTTCCCACCTCTAAAATCGAATATTTTTCATTGTCTTCTTCATTCATTATCATTATTAATTGGGGCTAAATGAACTGTCGGGTGATCAGGAAAAATAAATAAATCAAATTAAATGCAATAAATAACATTTTGTGGGTGTACATTCCAACCTATATTTCACTAACCTTCCTCATATCCATGTATAAACAAAAAGCATTTGCATCGAGTCAAATGTTCCAATGTTCCAAATAGGAAGTCAAAATCCAAAACAACCACCAACCCACCAGTTTCTCCGAGAATGCAACCACCTTGACTTTGGACATGCATGAGTTGATGTCGTGTTTGGAGTAGCAGCGCTGCCACGACGCGAGCCAAGAGATGTCTCGGAGAGGAGCTGACAGCATCTTCAAGACAGAAGGCTTCTTCCAGTTGACTGCAGCCTTCATCTTGGGTACTCGCTCCATGTATTCCACAAACTCCTCCATGAGCTGCCTAAAGGCGAAAACATCAACATTCCTGGAAACAAATCTGGTGGATACTTTCAGTAGAATTACAGGAAACACACCACGACGACCCTCGAATATGTAAAATCTTTACAACAATGGATAAATTCCTATCTAGGATGAAATGATTAAAAAAACACTTTGGAAATGAATCCAATGTTGAAACTCTTGACAAATGCATTTTAGCCCTCTTGATGTGGCCACAAAGACAGACCTACCTGCCTGTCTGCTGTGTCGGGTCTGTACAATACACACTACCTCGGAACCCTGTGTACTGAAATGGACAATAACGAAAATCAATGGTATGATTACCTGCAGTGGCTTGAGGATTGATGCACAATGCGTAATGTTTACAACGCTACATGTGTGTGTGGAAGGGAGTTTTAAATACTTTTTATATGACACTTTTCCTTTTACAAGCTTCCTTAGTTTAGTCAGCAACTTGTCTGGTACCCCATATCACCCTATAGTTAGTACTGCTTATTAAGCCTACTGCAGTTATCTGTTCAGACTGGTGCATGCTAAGAGTGAGCATTATCACTCACAGCTCTCTTCAGCCTTCCCACATTTGCACTTGTCTGCTCTTATCACCAGTGGCAGCTGGGTTTGTGTCTGATTGATCACTCAAGTAATCCACTTGTGGCACTGTGTTGGGTTGTTATCACATTTTTTTCCCCTTTTTTTTACTTTCGTCACGCTCACATTTCATTTATTATCTTCCTTAGAGGACCACGAGAGAGAACTATTTTTTTCTTTTGTACAGCTGGTATCAGTACGAGTTGGAGCTCAGTTGAAGTTCATTGGTCAACTCTCAAATTCATTTTTTTTTTAATTGTGTCCTGACCTTCAAAATAAATCGTGACCCAGTCTTCCTGAACCAAGTGTGTCTTCAGATCTTGTCACTTTCCCGAAGTCTCACATATTTAATTTAGCGAGGCAAATTTCAAGGCTACATGTGCAAATGAGACCTATTTTAATTGGCTGGCCTCTTGCTTTGTGAGGAGCTTATTATGGGATGGTGTGCAGCATGGCCGAGAACTGGGAATAAATACCGACTTTGACTCGTGTATTCATTTTGCCTATTGAGTTAAATCTTTGCATAAATATTACATTATCTGTCTTGCCACCAGAAAGATAAATATTTCTAGGTACTTCTGTAACCTACCTCGGTAATAAAGGGCAGAGCCAACATGCAGTGGTAGTTAGAGATTAGGATGGCATCGATAGTTGAGAAATCCACAATCCCAAGCTATGGTGTGAAATAACGAAAGCTTCAAGAAAAGGGCTGACAAGTTTAAAAGGTAGCGTATCTCAAAGAAAAATGCACATGGGCTGGACTCATAAAAACTGAAAACTATTTCAAGATAAATGATTTGAATATATAAATAACCTTGAGAACTATAACTCTCTCCCATCCCGTTCCGGGATTACTCAATCTTTACCTTACTGGTGGTGGTGGTTTAAGTCAGTAGTAATGAGGGGGGATTGCTTGATGATCCTCCAATTTTGTTCCCAATCTATAATATGGCATTATTTATCTCTTGCAATTGACAGAGATGTTTTCGAACCTCTGGCAGGCAGACTTCTGGGGAACTGTCCACAAAAACTCGTCCACTGCACTCCTTTAATTCCTGAAAGGAAAATGAAGGGTTAAATGAAAGTAAAGCTACGCACAGCTCATCACTACTCAACCCCCCCCACGTTAGCATTTGTTTTTAAAATCCACTAATAACGTTCAGGAAATTTGTTTTCAGAGAACCCACAGATATTAATCCACACATTTCAACCCATACCTTGAGCTCTGGCAGCCAGCAAACTCTCTCTAACCCCTATAAAGTAGAAAGTAAATTGTGGTAAAATATCTTGCTCAAGTACCGGTATATTATCAACTTACTTGTTTCAAGTCTTCTTTGAGTTGCAATGATGCATCTCCAGTTAGTGTCCATGGCGACAGAGAACTCAAACGGGTGCTGGGGACACAGAGTCAAAAGGTTTCAGGATCATGTACTAAAAACCAAATACTGCGGAGAAATATCAGCTCAGCCATTTAAATGTACTCCCCGAGTGCTGGCAAATGAATTCCGTACACACTCAAACTTTTCAAAACCCCCCTTTAAATAGATCCCTACAAAGTTTACTATTAATTTTAAAAACTCTACAATTCTGGACCCCTTTTGCGGCCATCATGGGTAGTATGTAACCTATGACAGCTTGATTCCAATTAACTGGCATACTTTGAAGGATTTTTTTTCATTGAGACTAACCTAGGCACAAGTGTCAGAGGCAGAAAGTGTTGGAGTGAGGTCAGATCCAAAGCGCAGTCCAGGAGGATGGTAGTGCTCTTGAACGTCAGAAGTAAGCATGGGGCGCTAGGGTGGTCTGATAAGCAATACTAGGAAGAAAAATGGAGTTGTTTTAGACGCTAAGAACGTGTAGCATTAAATGAATGTGTGCACTGTTCATTTGGTATCTCATTTTCTTACTAGGAAACTGTGATTAAAATTTATCTATTTCCACACCCTGTACTGGTAGCTGTTCCATTTAAAATCCAATTTCAAAATCTTTTGAAATATCAATTGAAGTCAGCAATTTCTTTACTAAAAGAAGGCATAAACAAGGATAGAAATGTGAATTTTAGGAACTTGAGTCAAAATCCACACTCACTTTTGTATACAAAAAATGTGAACAAGAAATCTACACATGCAAAGCATCTAAAATTGTTTCATTCTTATGTATTGTTAAGTTAACTTACAGTAAACTTACATGTAAGTTTGTGACTTTTTTTGCAAGCTCTCGGCCAAGCATTGAGTATACAGTTTTTATAAATATATACTTGTACATCAGGTATGGGCAAAACCTGTAAATTCTCATGTTTGTTTGATTTCTTTATGCTTACAGTAATACTCTCAATTATAGCATTCATTAATTTGTAATTTCTTTTCCCAAACATTACTGCACTAAAAAGCCTTGATTAAATACATAATTTAATATAATATTTTTCATTCTCAAGCTTCAAAAATTATGATTACATTTGTTGGTCAGAGTCAATGTCATTGTCCTGCACTTTATCCTTTTATATAAACTACTTGTGGTCTTCGATTTACCTCAGTTTAAAATATTATTTAATACCCATCCCTTACTTCATTATTAAATCAATTGGCTTGGTCATTCCATTTATCTTTTTGTCCTGCTTTTTTTTCTTTTTTATGCATCTACTGTTACTCTAGTAGGCCATTTCCCCTATTTGTTTTTTTTTTTCTTGCTTTAGTTTGATTTCCTTTACAGGTTGGTGAGCCTCAATGTTTAAATGAATTTCATTTCTCAACATGTCACTGGAGGTACATCTACTCTTATTGTCCATAACATCCTCGCATTCTGGAAAGACTGCTTTGGGGAAAGATGCCATATACGGACACCACCAATTATCCCTGCCGTGACCTGTATTAGCCATCTGGCAACAATGACGTGTCATAAAAGGTCAAATTTAGCAATAAAATTATTGTGGTATTCACTCAGAAGATGCATGTACTTCCAATTTTTCAGATCAGTCTCAGCGTTTGTGCACAGAGTATCAAGCGGGGTCCGTGTAGTCAGGTAGTTATTGGATAAGCTTAACCAGTTGATTTATGTTGTTTTCTTTTTAACTGCTTAACCCTAACCCTCCTCAGTCCTCCAACAGGTGAAGGATTGAGGAGGTTTAGGGTTAAGGGACCTCTTCCTAAATGTTCCTTTTTTTTTGGTAGGCCTCCTGTATCTCTCTCTGTTCAGGTGTTCAGTACTTGTAACTGAACCCATGCTGAGTATGCTCATGTTAGGCCTAAAATAACATAAGGCCTATTGTCACGCGTCCACCAGAGACCAGTTTTCAAGGGAATAAGGCTTTTTCTTTAATTTGAAAATTGCGTATACGCAGGGTTCTCCCCAGGATTTTTCAAAACTGTGGGGGTTTTCCACTGTGGTTTACCAACAGTTTGCGAAGCCATGGCATGGGGTTTGGGGCCTGCCCAAGGGCTCCAAAAATGCTTGGACTTTAGATGCTCTCAGCTGCATTTTAGAGCATTTCCTGGGCTTTTCAAGTACCTTTTCTCAGGAAAAAACATGAGAGATTCATTAAGTTTTTTTTTTAAGTTTGGATATTTTAAAAACATGCAACAACATGCAGTGGCTGTATTAATCAACAATTTAAACACCCGTTTATTCAGTTTTAATTTTAATACATGCTTCAAACTTTGGTTTTTGCTGATCAGACCTTCCTTTGCCAGCGCCTTCTGTGCACGTGCTGCTGGTGGCTGCTTCGTCTGCCTTTGGGTTTCCGTCAGCCCGGACTGCTGGTGTTATTGGCTTAAAAAAGAGCCTATCTTTGATTGAGTTTCTGCTATTGTGTGTGAGACAAAACGCGGTGAAATGGCAACGAGAAATATCGTCCCCGTCGTAGATGCCATTAATACTGTTATATGGGGCTACGGCTGCCGCCATGAAAAAAAATGTGTGTGGGGTCAATGTTGCAAGTTCTGCGAATGGTGAAGTATAAAATTTCAGCCTTTGTAAATGCAGCCCCACTAGCGTATTGAGCACACGGCACAGAGAAAACACATATGCGCGCGGGTGCATGTACGACACCCATGACAGAAGTTCAGATTTCATGCAACACCGGCCACAAGGAACGTTCGGTGCCGATGTACATGTACAATGTGCAGTGTGGCCACCGATGCGTGGTGCACAATGCATGTATTATGTCATGCATGTAGGCTACCTATAGTATGTATGATGTAGGGCCTACACGGAAAAATTCAGGACTGGCCCCCTAACTGCTTTCTCGTCTAGATTTTCTGGACATGCAATCTGCATTATCTAAGATAATTCTGAGCCATACTATCATATTTATATTGTGTGTATCAGGGATGAAAAAATGGATATCGGCCTATTTTTTGCGTATCGGGCAGAAATAATTGCGTATCGGGCACAATACACAAGTTTTTTAAGTTTATTCGTGGGGAGAACCCTGATCTTTATGTGTTTGGCTAAATATGGAGCGGTAGCGAGTGTCTGTGCCACTCTAGTGGGGTTACAAGTTGTGAAACTAATCCAGACCATGTCCAGACTAGACCTGTAAACAGGGACTGGGGTTCTACCTCCAACGCGTGGTCCAGAGCGACCTAGCCTACTGCCTGCGAGCTGGCCGGACACGGAACTCTTGCTAGGACTCTCCCGGCCCCACCAGATGAAAGAGATGAAAATAAAGAAAAGATATCACAGCAACTGACAAAGTTATGAAAGGAACTCACAAGTTTCATTTCTCCCGGCTTTCGTTTTTGTCTGCGAAGTTGTACACATGCGACCAACCAGCGTGAAATCGAGCAAACTCTTGAGGGCGCTCTACAAAAGTTCAAGAAGGTTGCGTTTTTGCGTTTTGCAAGCAGAGGGTCCGTGCAATATACTGTACATGTATAGCAGCCAACGATAATTACCTGAACTTAAAAAATCTGGGAAAATACTGATGAGTTTCTCAGGCGTTCAAAATGCATTTCAACTTAAAGCCCATTTTATGATTTTTCATTCTATTTTCAAATTTCCATTTATTAATATGATGTATGTATGTATTCATTTATCTATAAGTATTTATACATTGTCACACGCGCATGCGTGGATACGAGCTTAGAGACTCAGGAATTAAAACAGACCTAGCAACACGATTGCAGATCACTTTGATGGAGTGGACTCCCTAATTATTCCACAGCGTGTACACTGTCTCAACTATAAGGACATAACAATTCTTTTTTTCGATCTTCAATTAACAAATGACTTTTGAATTTTTTTTCCACAGAAGGCCGGACACCCTCCCCCAAACCTCGCCATTTTGAAAACACTTTTTGGCTCGAAAAATAGACTGGTTTCAAATCGTCAAGTTCATGGGCGCAAAATGCTCTATTTCGTAGAAAATTTGAGTGCATACAAATTGTGATTTGGCCCTCGCAAGCACTTTTCGGCCTATTTACTGGCCAGCAATCAGAAGTGTCATCGGCGCACCCCTACAATCGGAAGTGTCATTGGCGTACCCCAATAATAGGCCACAAATAGGCCCCTGCAAAGGGAGTTGCAGGCTGAGTTCGGGCGGCTTGTTCTGCTAGTTCACGAATCGCTCGATTTGTTGTTCGTTAGTCGGCCGCTCGAACGCCGGGAACGTACAACCGGTTATTACTGGTTGTTGCATGCAACATGGCGGCATCCACGTTCGTTCTTTCAGAGTAAACTTTAGAAAGCTGGGCTGAATTCTTTTCTATTTGAAAAGGAACATTCATTTCTTTGTTATGGAAAATGATTATTGTTATTTTTGTAAAACTTCCCATTGTCTCCGGCTTTGTGAGCCATCTCGCTATTTTTTGCGGCTGTTCAAAAATCAAAATCTCACGAGTTTTTCCGAGTGTTCCTGTAAAACCCTGACGAGGAGGTGGTGTGTGATACTGTTCCAGGAACATTCCCGTTCCCGCCGTTCGATCGTGAGAACAAGAAACCCGTGTCAAGAACAGCAGGCCGCCCGAACTCGACCACTACTGAGGTGCGTATATGATCAGTCACCAGACCCTCGTAACTGCAGCCTCTTCATGCAATGATCACCCTGTGGAAATTGCAGGCTTAAAGTGACATGGCCAACTCCCCATTCTACGGCGAATGTGCAAAACTCGAAACTGGCATAATTATTTCGAGACGGCCGTCACTTATCATTGCCATTGTAAAAAGCCTTGCTCACTGAAGACTTCTTTCTTGAGAGTGACCACGGATGTGCTTCTGCATGCTACATGGATTTTGCGCATGAATGAATTTTTGGAGAGAGAGTCTGTGATAATAACGTATTAAGCGTCGTTGAAGTGGGACAGGTCTGTCGTTACGGTTTGCCATGGTTATTGAGAGCTCAGAGGCAGGAGTGGTTGGTGAGGCTGTGTGTGCAGGTGTGGCTGGCATACACACTGTATCGTCCGATCAATTATTCTATGTCGTTGATGATTCCTGGCCAGCTCGAAAAAATGAGCTGGCATTTGTGAACAGCCTAGATGCCCACTGCAGCGTGTATTTTGTCGAGTACCTCTTGGCGCATAGTCGCCACATGAATGATGATCCCGCCTCCTTTGATGACCAGTCCGTCGTCAGTCACCTGATAGTTCACCCTTGCATGACCAGTAATGACAAATGCATTTAGGGAGGTCTTCAGGATCCTCCGCACTAACCATGATTGTCTCTGACAATGATCGCACGACGGCGTCACTGGCCCTTAAATTTGTTGTTTCAGTTGGGACAGTCTTGCCCAGGAAAACCTGCATGGCATAGACTGTTGTGTCAAAATGATAATCGCAAGTTCAGATGCAGGGTTTAGTCTGGACATCGCTTTGAGCACCATGTCGCGACGTGGTTTGTAGACGACTGTGAAATCGATTGGTTGCAATCGTACCATCAAATTTTGAAGGAGTGTTCGTTTGTGTTTGAAATGTTCCAAGGTCTTTTCATCGGATTCAGCAACTAATTTGGATCTGTACAAAACGCGTTCGACCGAAAACCGTAGCCAGCAACTCGCATTTGCATGTACCGCCATTCAGTTTCTGTTAAAGCGACGGCTTTGTTGTTCCTCCAGAGATCTGCCCGTTGGAAGACACATCAACTTGTACAACTAGTGTTGGGAGTTGAAGTAGGTAAGTGTGCATTCTGTACTGATCAATGATTTTCACATTGTCGAATGTAGTGCGCAGAGGGTATCTTATGTGTGGTCAGCGAGCCCGAGAACAAACAGTGCCAGGCACTACACCAACCCAACTGCTGGAGTCAGTGCGCTGTTGCTGGGCCGGAGCGGGCAATGCGTGTTTGTTCTGGACCTTGCCTACTTGGGTCGCAGAGGAAACCAAAATGCGGGGATACGGTACGCACTTTACATTTAGCCAAAGTTGCGTGAGTTTGTGCAAGTGTCTGTCATATTTTTCAGCTGTTGCTCCAAACACTGGAATATCCGCAGTCCTCTCGGTCCAATGCAGGGCACTGCTCCAGGATCATGTGCATGCATCTTCTCCTGGAAAATATCTTGAGGGAACTCGAGACGGGGAGGGCCGCGGTTGTCAAGAGACTATAGACTCCTAATCTAGTATGCTCCAGAAGCCGTGCCATGCATCAAACTCGCTGAACACTTCAGGCCACTGTGTGTAATTTTTTTGTATGTTGTGATAACGTGCATTTCAGTGTTTTGTTTAGAGACTGCGGGTCAACGGGCGTTTCACAGCAGTGCGCCGTCAAGAGTTTGCAACGCGGTGGCCGCTGCATGCAATGCGCATTTGATTGGGTTGACACGCCCAGACGTGTCGACCAGCAGTACGCGTTTGGAAAGGGTCGACACATTTTGCGTAAAGTGATTGGCCAACGTGTGGCAAACTCTTGGTGGCACACTATTGTGAAACGCCCATATTCACGCACACTCTGTTGAATGCCAGTGACGAAACCCAGTCTGTGGGTCCACCCACCTTGCAAATGACATTCAGACCATCCATTCTGTCCATTTCAGCCTTAAGTTCCTCCTTGATCTTAATGGGGTAATCTTGTGGAGGCTACGAGACCTGGTACGTATTGCCTTTGAGTTCGATATGGTACTCGTTGGGAAATGTTCCAATCCCACAAAGCGATCTGGGTAAAGTTTGCACAAGTCGTACTTTGGCGTTTGTCCATTTTTTTAAATGCTTAAATATCCCAGTGATCAACAAAATAGCTGACGATCAATGAAATTCAGGAAACTGGAGTAGAGGTTAGGTACCATGAGGCGGTACAGTCAATCTAAAAGCACGCCCCCCCCCCAATCACGGAGTTTCAGACTCCATCTTGTTTTAATTTTGGGTGAAATGACGTCATGCACCGTCTCTTTCGTTCTTGTCTGCGTCTGCATGTCTTGCGTTCCGTGTGCGTTACAAACGACGATGGGTGCGTTCGATTAGCTTCCCTGAATACATCAGTGTTACACGCAAGGGAAGCCTCGAAATGATGAGGCTAATTGAACGCTGCAATGGGTGCGTTCGATTAGCTTCCCTGAACACATCAGTGTTACACTCAAGGGAAGCCTCAAAATGAGGCTTATCGAACGCTGCAGTGTGTTTTCCAAGGCATTCTGGGAAAAAGGTCAAGTCCCCGCAACGTTTTATCATGTCCATGGCCATGCTAGCGCTCGAACAGTCCATCCTTGACGTCATTATACTCGGGCAGCTTCCAGAGACCAGCTCACCCGCTGGGGGTAGTGGTGGCTTACACCGGGGCAGGCACAAAGATTACCTGATGGCTAAATGAACGCTCTGTGTAGGTTTGACTTACACATGTAAGCTAATCAAACACACCCAATATTGTAACGCGACAGAGGGCCCTAGGCACAAGCCTGAGCATGGGATAAGATTATAGATGGCGCTCTGCCCAGTAACAAGGGTAGATGTAGGGCTGTGTCCGAAACGGGCTTCCAGAGCTACGGCTAGGTCTATTGTCTACGCGTTTCCACGCATTTCCAATGGAGCAAAGACCTAGACCTAGCTCTTGACAAGAGATTCGAAAGCAGCCTAAGCTTGCGTATAGCTGTGTGTTAAGCGAGCGCGGCGGATAGGCTCCGCCTTGCGCGTAGGGCGATTGGTTAGCTGGAGTCATTGCATGCGTTCGATTAGCTTACACGTATAACTTAAATTTATACGAGAGTGTTCGTTTAGCCGCCACGTGATCCTCGTGCCTGCCCTGGTGTCAGCCACCACTACCCTAGTCTTGGCCCAAGACGTCAGTGATCGATAGTTGTTTTATTTCTGTTGAAGAGCGCCCTCACACAACTAGTTTTTACTTACTTTCGCTAACGTTTTGGGAATCTTGCAGGAATGGGGGTGCGGCAGTTGTATGCAAATGTCCGATCTTCTTAAATAGTTATAGCCTTGGTATTATAATTAAGTACACGCTCTTCGAAGTTCGAACAGCATGGCGGCTTCACGCGAGCAAGTACGATGTCGATAGTGTCTGGTTTACGGGAAGGGATTAGTGACATGTAAGACATATTTTTTCACTCCATACTAGACATGAAATCGCCTCTTTTCTAAAAGATATCGTTGGGGACAACAATTGTGCTGCATCGCATCGTGTCTGCGATGTCTGTGGCAGAAAAACTGGGAAAACAAAATCGTTGCCTGATACTACACAAGAAATACGTTCTCGTTTTTTGCAACTCACAATGAGCATGCTGCCTGAGGCCAAATTACTCACACAAGCGGCAAATAAACCTACACGTGCAGCAAGAAAACGACAACCAACTTGCAGTCCGGGTACTCCGTCCTCGAAGGTTAAAGTCTACAGGATCTCTAAGGATGCTTTAGTTAGCTGGGGTGGGCATGCTGACTGTACATGATTATGGGTCACCAAGAACAGCATCCTCTGTCATAACCTAGGCCTAACCTAGACTGAGTATCACCCGTTTTACTCCGTGCTAACTCTGTACGAACGTCTGTGTTGTCGTGTCTGTGTTGACGGGACTGCAGACAACCACGATGCATGTGACCTTACCATGATGTATTATTGAGGTCATCACAATTTATTATGCATGCAATTTAGCGAGTGCTGATTGGTTCCATTGGAAAGCCGAGGGAAAATAAAGAACAAGTTAAAACGCTGCTGCAAGATTCCCAAGACGTTAGTGCGAGCTGGCGCACGATCTAATTATGAGTCCTTAATAGGGGGCGCACTATGCACGGTGTCCGCTATCAAGCACTAACGTCTTGAAACCAAGACTACCACTACCTCAGCCATCGCCAGCGAGCAGGTCTCTGGAGGCTGCCCAAGTGTAATGACGTCACGGATGGACTGCTCGTGCATGGACATGATGGAACGCGCGTGGCGGGGACTTGACCTTTTCCCAGAATGCCTTAGCGAATGCAGTGTTGCGTTTGATTAGCCTCATTTCGAGGCTTCCATTGCGTGTAACACTGCGGTATTCAGGGAAGTTAATCGAACGCACCCATTGCTTGGTCACATGCAGCGCGCGCACGCAGGCGTAGTCGCGGCAGCGGCTGGCTCGCGACGGGAGGATGTTATACAGCAGAACCTTGCATTTGGTTCGATCCTGCTGTAAAAACCCCGAGTTGTAGTGTGCATGATTGAAGTGGCTTTGATGAATAAACCAGCTACCATTTTGTTATTGTACATGTGTAAGGGTCGTTATTTCGAGTCACACGCCGTCTTATTTTGTAGATCACGCGTTGTTTTAGTTGCGTCACAAGGCACCGGGCTAATCACGTCAGACGTTTCCGGTGCCCAACAGCCCTGCCAACGGAGTTTTCAGACCGAAATGGCATACTTCCATCCCAACGGACTCGCCTCTAGCCGCTCAGGAACTTTCCGGTCCGTTCCGTCCGACCGTCACGCCTCGAGGAGGAGGGAGCCCTCGCCTTCGTCGGAGGGCGTGACGTCACAATATGGAAAGCAGGCTTAACTGGAGGGAGCCTGGCTCCGTAGCTAAGAAAACAGCGCCCTCTCTTGGTCCAGCTTGAGGCCCATTGTGTCCACAGTGCTTCATTAGGCTAATCAAGCCACAGTTAATATGTAATGTAATGTTGTGGAGCTCTATAGTGCAAACGGGGCCGTCTTAATTGAAAAAAAATCACCTTCGGGGAAACGGGTCTTGTTACCAAAATAAATAAATAAATAAATGATAATAATAATTATATCATTTCATGTTAAATCTTCGCGCATTTTGTTGGACCTTAGTTATCATTAAACTGGGTTTTTTGGTCTTTCTGATCTTTGTTTTTTTCGGGGTGTTTGGGCACTTATGATGGGATCTGCACGAGTGCTGCTTGAAACACCAATGTTCGTCCAGACTGTCTTAGGGAGCTGCATCGCATCACGAAACTAGGTCAGGACATACAAGCTCACCTTGACGCATAGTCATGGTTGAAGCACAACATGGTTGGAAAGCCGGCAAGACTAAATTGGAATCTGAAAGCGCGCAACCTCCGACAGTGGCCAGGTCAACTCTTAACTTGCACGGCAGCAAAGACGTTGACCAGTCCCTTTGTTGTTGAAACTTACAAAGATAATATGTCATTTTATGCCTAAATGTCTCGACAGACCATTCTAAATTGACTGTTCACTTACACAAAACGTGCCATGAAAAACCACAGTGCTTCGATATTAACGCCTGGTTTCTGCTAATTTCTTTGTTGAGGTTGTGTAAGTATGGTCTCAGTAGATTCAGGGGCACCCATCTGGGGGCAAAGTAGACAAAAATGTCACTGGAGATTTGTGAGAAGAACCCCAGAAAGGTGCGGGATGTCATTTGAAAAATGGCAGCTGAGAAGACTTGGAAACATTCACTTTTTTGGGGTGAGTTTGTTTTTGGTGGATAATTAAAATTCATTATTTAACCCACTAAAAATTGAAAATCAAATGAAATATGAAGGACCAAACAAGGCATTCTTTTTTGTTCGAGAGGCCTGAGGGATTTTGTTGATTTTACACAATTTTCAATGGAGCTTGAATTGATTCAGTGCACCCTAATGCACCGTTTGCACACACACCATTTTATCCCAGGAAATGTTACAGACGCCCTCTATTGGTCGTGATAACACCGACGGGCGACGGAAGGGGCGACGTTTAGGTGGAAAAAATGCAACAGGGAAAGGACAGCACGACGCGACGGACGCCGGCACGAAGCGACGCACGACGCAAGGGAGCCGTCGTGTCGTGTAGTTGCGTGGCCTGGAGGGTGGCTAGAGAGAAAGAGAAATGTGTGTCGTAAATAGTACACCATACTTCCCGGATGAACGCGTTTGCGTATCGACCAAAACTAAACACCCATTATCTTAATTAATCGTATGCTCTTGCGGGCGTAAGAATTCCGTGTTTTGGGAATGAAAGACGAAGACAAAGCGTATTAAGTTCACAAGAAGTTCATCAATGAGCCTGGGGTCTATTTGCCATTATGACATGAGGAGATGGCACCCAAGACGCATCAGAGAAGCCATCGAGATCTACAAGCACAACACAATACCCCAAGACATCGGTTTCAATATTAGCAACATCTGGCGCCCCCTACTCCCCCTACAGACCAATGGGTCACCTATACCCACGGTCCACAGTCCTCCCCCCACGAGATTAGGATCCAACCACCAGCCAAGCTGTTCCGCATCAACGAGTTTCCACTGCACTGAATCCTCTCCACCGGTACTTAAGCCCCACACACTCCAGATTCGGCACTCTTTCTCCTGAAGACGAACAGAGCACACTGTTCGAAACGTCGAGTGAACCCCGGTTCTTTTCAGAACCACACACACCCAAAAAGAGAATTTGATTACATGGTGTCACCGCAAACTTCACATAGTTAGTACTTTCGCCATGCATAGCCTCAAGTCTTATTTATGACATGAGGAGACATACAAACTCGTAGACCTGGCGTGACATGTACTATTATAATTTAATGTAAATCTACTTCCTCTTTATTTTATGTTTTGTTTAATCTCCTTTAGTTTGTGTTTTTTATTCGTCTTCAAATATTTTCTAACTTTTTGCTGTTCGTTATCGTCATGTCTTCTTGTCCGTCCCTTCTTTTCGTCTCGCAGTTGCTCGCGTTGTCGTTCTTATGTTCTTGCGCTATATTTTTTTTAATCAAGCCTCGGCGTATTCACCAGCCTCGTGTTCTGTTCTTTTCTCTCTTGTATAGACTACTTTTCTTTTATTGTCACATGTTAAAAACACTTTAACGTGGGAGTTTGTCCCCAGCATGGCCAGAAATCACGTGATACGTTCGTTGTACCAAATGCTACACATGACCTAATCCAGATCCCGTGACTTCTCCTAACTATCCCTGATGCTACTTTTAGAGGGGGTGCCAATCATCCGGGCAGTCACTGAAACAGGGCGGGCCAAATCTCCACTCCCATTATGTTGTGCACAAAATGCTGCTCCCCATATGTTTGTACACAGAATCCCTACTGTCACTTGTCTGCTACATGTTTAGTTAAAATGTTAGGCGGAAAACGTATACCCCCGTTCATATTTTAGATTCATTCTTAAAACCCTTTTTATCCAAATAAGTTCATTATTATTCATGAAATTTGCAACCAATTATTTTAAAGGATCCTTCGCGGGCCCCGCAGATAATGTCATTCTGTTGCTGTTGGAAGCATCTTATGGATATTGTTCCTTTTCGCCTGAAGCCCATAGGCCTCAAATATTACCGCTGAGGCGTGACGGTCATGTAAAGAGTTCCCGGTTATTCTGATAGCTTTTCCACAGTGAATGATAATTCATCATTTTCTACTATCACAGCGTATCTTGAGATACCTGTATCCATTATTTTGATCATATATTTTGAAAGCAGTTGTTTCGAGAACTATTGCCCTTTAATTTCTTGAGTTTTTACATGTTTAATGCACAAATATCATAAAAGTCCAAGATGGCAGCCGTAAGGAGCAGGTAGGCAGAAAATTGCCACAGCCGCCATATCGATCTGTTGTTATTCTTTCAAGCCGTAGTCAAGGTGCATTTCATCGGTACTGTTTCTTTTCCCGCATTCATTACAGAAAGAAAACACCATCGGATCAACACAGTTTACCGAGTCCTCTTTGCCAACTTTACTGACTTTAATGACATCAAGGATCGCAGTTCAGATGTTTTTTATTTCATTAAGTTGTTGGAAAAATTCTGTACATCCACTTTTAGTTTCTTTAATTATCGATGTAGTTCAAGTTTGTCCGTTTTTAAAATGTCTATGAACTAAGTTTTCTTATTTATTGGCGTATTTTCTGAAAACGTGTATGGAATAAATGTTTTCTTGAAATGAAAAACAGATTTAAAATATTAATAAAAAAGCCATGTACACTTTCCTGCATGTAAATGTACGTGTTCGCGTCCACGCGCGCACGCGCGTAACCGGCCGTTCGTCAGCGTTTAGTGCTGTGCAGTACGTTGCTGGATCGGTTTTCTGCATGTAAAATACATACCGGTAGATGGCGCTGCGCAGACGGTGTTCAAAATAGCTCATGAAAGTCGAGCAAAGAAAAAATCGAGCTAGATGAAACTGACTTAATTGTGTAGTTAAGTTTCTAGTCTGTCGTGTGCTGTATCTTCTTATTTTGGATAAACTTCTGAAATTGAGAAATTAAGTGTAAAAGATACCAAAACAACAGATCGAGTTGAAAATGGAAACATCTCACTACCTTAGCAACCACTCTGTGGCTAAATTTCAAATTTATGTAGTACTCCTGTTCACAATTCTGTGTTTTTGAAATTCGGTTTAAGCCTTCTTGAGCACGTACACAGAGTTTCGGTGTGATTTTTTGTGAATTTCACTTACGCACGAAGTCTTCACAATGAGAAGGTTCAACAGAGGATGGGCAACTTGCTATAAGGACTTGTTTGTATGGTTTACGAGGGTCTGGTCAAGTTACCGCCGCACCTGTTTAAATCGTTATTTTATGCACGTCATGTCAATGAAAGTGGAACTCATGTGGAGATACTGAACTGGCTCCGATTGTTTACAGTGTCCGTTCACCAGTACTGGACACCGTGTAACCTCAGGTTCCTGTGCACAACGCCCAGAGCAAATGTATGTTTTTTAGCATTGATCTACATAATAATGGGATCAATGGTTTCCTATGAAACGATGTAAATAGACTGTACGTGGAGCAAGGGGCGGAAACACCGCGATTGTCAATATTTTATCTGATTTTCGAGCGCACTTTTGGGCCCCAATGTGCTACGTTTTCACAGATGGATCAGGCCTTAGATTTTACAGCAAAGCCCTATATTTTTTGTTTACGTACATGTAGCTAAAGACATACTAGAAACGTCACATGGAAGACCAAGTTGGCTACACTTTTCCATTCAAGCAAATGTAGATTATTTATTACACAAATTTCCATTAGTTTTAAGGTTTCATAAGAATTCGGTGAAATTCCTTGTCGGCTTTTTAGCCCTACAGGGCGCCGTCATGTTTGAAGTTATACAGCGCAATTGGAGTAACTAAACAACAAACAATCGTATTTAAAGATAGTGAACAGGATGACTGGACAATAATTCAAGGCCAGCCATCAGACCTTGGATATCCCTAGTCTGGTTCCCAGACAAAAGAAATCTGACTACTCTCTTCCGATTCAAGCCAGGGTCCGGTATCACAATGTCATGTAAAAAAAAGGAAAGAAACAAGAGCTAGGATACCTCTGTTTCCAAAAAACTAATTTTCGTCAATTGGACAGCACTGTTGATGTTCAGGCATTTTCAGCCATGCACACAGACAGATTAGCAGATGTCTATAAGTATAGGGCATAGAGGAAGGAAAACAGTTTTCCTTTCCGGTCAATGCATATAGAGCTCGCAAACTCGTTTAGAAACATACACGTAAGCAGCCACAATGGACGTATTCACGGCGACCAATCCTGGAATTCTCGTGTTTGTACACAAAGCTCTCGCTTGCTCGTTTTGTATTCAAAGACAAACAATGTCAACGCCAGGTGACAGACATAACATGTTTCTTGCGGAATATCCAGCGGAGCCGGTTTAATATTGTTCCTCTTTTAAAATGATATCATGTCAACATTTTGTTCTGTTATATTTCGTGCCATTTTGTGTCATGTAAAGTACATCCTGAAAATGAAATAACATAATGAAATGATATAGCCTCCAACGTGCAACCCAGACGGGCCCTCCCCGGTGACCCAAACATGTTGTGTAATGAGCAATATTTTAGCCTTGAGTGATACCTGACCTAAGATTTGATCACGAGTCAGAAATTTCATGTCAGGGAACCAGACCAGTGTATTCCTTGTTTCTGAGAGCAAAACCTTTTTCATTTAAATAACAAAGATGGAAAAATGGATTTTTCCCCGCCCATTGTAACAGCACAGAACCGTGGTGTGAGTGCGCGACGCACCAAACCTCATACAAGTATCAGTTTCATGTGGCAGGGTCAGTCTTGAAATATCCACCTGTGTTCTACTCTGCACGTACATGTACATAACGTCACCAACAGAACGAATCGAACGATGGCCGACATCGACAAGGCAAGAATTGAAAGGGAAGTGGAAGAACGGAGGGTAGCTTGCAGAGTAAATGAGTTCGCTACCCAAGAGGAGTTTCAGAAGATGACGCAGGACATGTATGCGGATTGGATCAAGAACAACGGATATGAAAAGGTAGGCCAACACAAGTAACTTGGACTCAACGAAATCCCCCTTTAACATCTGGGCATGGTGATGGTCAGTCGATCGACCATCAGAGTCCAGCAACCTGGGCCCCGCGTTCCCCACCACTTACCAGTACAGTACATGTAATTAGTTTCACACAAAATAGCCCGTACCCCGAATGAACATCCGCAGATTTCATCCGCAAAACAGTCCTGAAACTGTCCAATGCTCCCACCCCAGGATTCAGTGGGAAGTGAAGTTTCCGGTGATGGTGATTTAGGTTGCTTACCTTGGGGAAGAAAAGAGAAATTCCTCTTTCAACTCAAGTATACGACCTCAATTTGGTCATAGCTTGGCGACTTTGCCTCGATCAGGAAACAGTCGCCGGCATATACATGTGCACACATCATAGCTTATTTATGAATATTGCCCGTACCATGCCAGTGCGTCGCAAAGGCCGGCGCCCCGTTATATCCACTGGGGTACAGCGTTGGGACACTGTCTGAATCGCCGCCATGTAAACGTGTGCACAACCCCGTGTCTGAACCCGTAGTGTCTGAATCGCTACAACTTTTTACAAGATGGCGACTCCGAGCTGGACAACAAGAGGATTTCCCACTTGAACGGGAAATCAATCTTTTCTTTGGGAGGTAAGTGAATGTAATCTACCATGGTTGGAATCTCCGATTTCCACTGAATCCTGCAGTGAGCGCATTACACAATTTCAGGACTGTTTTGGAGAGGAAATGAGGATGTTGATCATATAGGACTCAGGCTTAGGCTAGTCAAGTGAAACCATGGAAGAAGGAATGTAGTTGTGAAATTAATTTATGGTCAGGCTGATTGGCCTTATTCAGAGGGCGGCCATGCATATTTGACTGAATGTTAAGATATTTTTACTCTTGGAATTTGAGAAAGCAGAAAAAAGCTCATTACAAATTAATTTCATTGACGACTTCAAACAACTTCGAAGGGAAACGTCCAATTTTTAAAGATTTACACTTTCTATTCCCTGCATGCTCTCTGTCTACGCTCAAGGGCAATCAACTAGGCCTATTCAGTGGTTGTGAAAAGTATGGCTATAGAGGCTTTTCACGTGACGTAATATGACTGGCAAAGGTAATTCAGGAAGCGTGCAAAGTCCGTGGAGATGCATTCTTGTGCGAATCTGAGTATTTTAATGGCAATTTCATGTATGCAAGAATGTTGAGAGACTAGGGAGGCGCGCACGTTTCTGCGCACATCTGTGCAAATTGAACGCAGACCGTCAAATGTCACGTGACTGAGAATCTTCTGTTGGGTCAAATTTTAACCAGAAGTAGATCAAAGTTGGCCGTCTATGTATTCATGTATTTGCATTTAAGAAAACGATATCTTTTGATTTAAAGTAGCTCAGTTGTCCCTTTATCTTATTCTTCTCTTTTGCTCATTTGTTGAGAAAAAATAGCTGCGTTGTAAGAAGTGGACAGTGTTTTGGCCTAATGTGAACACCGATTTGAAATTAAAAATACACGTCAACTTTATTGTGAAAAATACTCAACTATGAATCCCTTTGTTGAAAAAAATCATCACCGTTTAGAGGTGATTAAATATAGATGGACTTTTAAAATGTACATTAATAGTAAAAGCTGTTACAACATGTTGAATACTGTCAGGAACGTGTATTTTCTGTCTACGATATACTGGCTCAGATGATCAGACGACAGGGAGGAATTTGGGGATGGGAATTACGTCCCACTGTAAAATTATGAATATCAAATGCTTCGATTATGTAAAACTTTGAAATAACTTCCATCCCAAATTTCATCTTGATGCGTGGTCGTAAACATCATTGTAAATGAGGGTCAAACTTCCTGCTTTGCGCGCTTTCACATAGTGTTCTTCTCTCTAGGTGAAACGGTCCTGTCTCTCATATAGTAAAGGCCTACTCCGTCAGGGTCAAAGGGTGACACCGGGTCAATTGCTCTGGGTCAGTAGGGGCAGACCTTGGCGAAGAAATAGGATCCCACTATCCGACTGAGATGAGTGTGCAAAGAATTCATGTTCTTACAAATTCACCAGCATCTAAGAGTAAGAAACCCTAAAGCCTACTCTGAGCAAGCCATTCAGACAATAAGAAAGTACCCCCTGGAAATGTTGAGTCCTTACCCCAAAAGCGAAAGAATTCTATATTTCTGAGACTCATACGTGTGTCATATTATTACTAAAAACTGCACGTCTTTTACAGTCCTCATATTGATGGTAACGAGTTCAGCTTGCATCACCTGTTGTTATCGGCTGACTTCATCTTTTTCCTATTTAGGGGATCGGTCTCAGCCTGCATCACCTATTGGTTTTCATAAATTTTCTTTCTTCTTTGTGCTGTGTCTTTTTAAAATGATTCCCCACAGCGTTTCTTAATTTCTTTGTGCAACGCATCGACTTAAACTTGTCGCGAACATCGGTCCTGATCCCGAGGTGTGTACCGGTATGCAAGTGTCATGCACGCCAATTTTTGTCCCAATTTTAAGTATTAGGGCACTAACACGCCTGATCAGGCAGGGAAAGGAAATCTTTTACATTTGTCAAAAAAGGATACTTAAGTTAGGAGAAAAAAGAAATCCAATTTGTCCCCTCCCTCCGTCTGGATACAAGACCAGGATACGCTACTAATTTGACGGGTGACTTTGGGACATTTGAAGTTGCTGCGTTCTTCTCTACTGTGGTTTCCATATCGACATGAGAAACGCAGAGAGCAACGCAATCAAGACGCAAACTGCACCACAGACAAATGGAAACATGTCGAACGGAAGTGTCGCCACAAACGCAAACCAGCCCCAGACGGATCGGCAAAGTTGAACCAGGCTCAACTTTGCCGACTAGCCCAAAACAATATGCATGACATGGAGTTTGGCTGGTTACCTGATTTGTCAGCATGGTTTTCTCATGCCTTAAGCAAAATTTGGGGTTAAGCAGCTATATGAAATTGGCCCCTGTATATACCTGTCAAAAGATCTATGAAAACTACAGGGAGTGAGGCCAGTACCCGCCAAATACACGTAGTTTTTAATTAAATAACCAATTTCAGACATGCATAATTACGACCATATTACACAACACTTTCCCCGCTTCAATTGCTGTTTAATCAAACCTGGGTGCTCGTGAAGGAGTAGGGCATGCTCGAAGTAGGATTTGTTTATTCTTAGTAGATGAAGCATTATCTCGTGCTTCTGTACTGAATATATAGCGCGAACATGCTTTGACGGTTTGGATTTAATTCGTAGGCCTAGTATGCCTATAATTCTTTTTCATTCACACGACCTTTTCTTTCAGACGTAGGTAACTTTAAGTTGTTTGAAAGATTCATGGATAGGCCTTTTCCTGGTTTGTTCTTCGTTCATGCCCCGTTGACATACTTTGTAATTTTGTCCAACCAGTCTCTATAGCTGGCATTAGTTTTCTTCCAATTCCAAATCTGCACTCCCAGTGATAGGTTCATCATCGTCAGTTTCGGATTCTTTATCCTCTTCCTGGAAATCTTCTATTTCTGTTCCAAATCTCCACATCTCACGCAGTTGGCTTCTAAACTGCAATTCTCTTCATGCAATTTGTTATTTCTTTCGATTGTTTTTGTTATTTCTTCCGAGTGTGTATTAATTTCTCTGAGTCAACTGCATGTCCGGATTGAAAGCTAGTACATTCACGGACGGAGTGTTCCATTGGCATATAGGTAGAGTGGCATATTGCTTTGCGTTCAAAGTCAAACCGAAGTCTACCCCCTTTTTAAATGCAAATGAAGCGAGGCCGCTTTTGATAAAGGTCTTTGTCGCCAGTGAACTTCAACACAAAAACCTGCTGCCCTTGCATTGAGTTACATTACATTCACTTAATAATTTTACATAATATAGGTTACATGGCATTACCGACAGAATATTTCATAAAATGTTCCGGGGAAAGGCCAACACTGATCGTTATGGGGAAAAGGTCCCAAGAATGCTACAAAAAGTAAAAAGGAAATGATGCCATTTTAGCGTCTTCATGCAATTTATTATTTTATTATTTTCCTCTGTGTCTACCGCTTGTCTTGATTGAAAGCTTGTATAGACTGAATGGATATGTTATGGGCATACATGTACAGATAAGTCATAGCAGAGTCTATGGTATGCATGTAACCTTGTAGTATGACGACGCCATGTGCGGCATTGCGTGCGAAGGCAAACCGAAGTCCATCCGTTGTGCAAATGAGGCTAGGATAGCTTTGAAGAGTTTTTGTTGTCAGCGTACTTTGTCCCAAAACCCGCCCCTGCATTGGGCGAGTGGAGTCCGAGTTCATATCAGTGCAGAAAGGTCTTTTCAAGGACTGCACAAAATATTCCGTGGGAAGGGCAACACTGATTGTTACATGGCAAATGAAGAGTGGCTTTGTATGTCTACAAACGTGACTCGTTTCCATCAGGTTTGGGGACAAAAGAGTCCCAACCAAACTTGAAATGAAGTCAATGTGACGTCATCATGCTATTAGATTTGTCGTTTGAATATAGTTAGTATTTTCTTTGTGACATCCATGTCATTGCGTGCGATGCCAGTGGGGCATAGGGTGATAACATGACCGCTCTGTGATGGCCTTGGGCTGGCTGGTGTAGCAACTTACATTAGTTCAACTGGTTTGCTCGTGCCTCTATTGTCAGCAGCCTTTTGTCAAGTGTGCTTCAGTGTGTGTTGAGTACAGACGATCTCCAGGGTGTACGCCCTATGACCTTTCCAGCTGGTGATCCACAAGGGGTAGAGGTGCAGTCCAATAATTCAAGCGAGAATTTCTGGCCAGCTTATTAGCGTTAAAAATGCCCCCGCAGTATCTTTTGAAAAAGGCCCCCAAAATGCTAAGATTTTGTGTACATCGTTGCCAGGATCCACTTGGGTCTTTGAGCTTTCGTATAAGAGTAGAATGGCTAAAATCTACGGTTGAAAAATGGTCCTAAGTGCCCGAGAAAGTTGAAGGTTGCCACTTGAAAAGTGGCTGCAATCAGACTTCGGAAAAATCACTTTTCGGGGGGTGATTTTGTTTTGTGGGAATAATTAAAAATGTAATTGATTAACCTACAAAAATTGAAAAGAAATTAAAAGATTTGGGATCAGACTCTAATTAAATTTGTGTTTCAGAAATCTCAGGGATGTTGATATGCATGTACTCGTTAATGGGCCCTGAACAGTGCTGATTTTACACTGTTTCCAGTGGGTTTTGAATTAGTGGACTGTACCCCTAGACCTACCTTATCTGTTCTGCATCTTTATACAAAATAGGCTTTCATACATTTTAATCTCTCACCCTTAGTGTGTGATGAGTCTCGGGAAAAAGTGTTAAGCACATAAAAATTCTACCCGCCTTGACACGATGTTGGAAACCTCCGAAAAAAGCAGCGACTTTTCCCAGAACACTACGCGTTCATGATTATCATTCACGATTCATTCGAACTTCAGTGAGGAGACCATTGACGGGAATATCAAAAATGCTTCAGAAGCATTGTTGTAAATGTTACATTGTAACACTTACGGTACATGTGGGCACTACAATCAGATCTAAGCGGATAGTTTGACTGTTTTTTGGGTGTACATTTGTAGAAGGGCGTAGAAAAGATTGAAAAAAAAACTAATCTTGTGGCCATAACCTTGATTTTCACGGAACTTACAGGTGAGGCCAGTCTGGTCGTGGGGTCACCAAGCGGCACTGTTTCTGGCCGATTTCGCAATGTTACCGGTAGCCATTAGTGCTTTATGTACTTAGTACAGTGCACCAATGTTGTGCACTTTATCTGTGAGGGTTTGAAAGTTTGAAATGCGTTTGTCAAACAGACCGGCACGCACGCGTCACGTACATGCGCATGGGGAAATCGGTCTGGCTGAGGGCTTTGTATTTTTTTTTGTATTTTTCGGGAAAGTTCTGCGAAGTCAGAGAAAATCATTATTCTGTTTTTTCACTTGTTTAGGATATGCTTGGTCTCGGATTCATCAGTCATATTGTGGTGGCGGACACAGCGTCAAAATTTGTCCCTGTTAAAGACAGCCGACTGCTGGACTGTGCATCCGGAACAGGCCTGCTGGGCGAACAGGTACGTCAAATCATAACCTCTTTCGCTTTTTTCTGCAACGTCTAAGTGTAAAAAGGAACGGGTGCAAAGTTTTGTTGCTGCTGAATTTCATACGGACTCCTACGCTGTTCCTTTCCGTATATCTACCCTACCAATGTCATTTTCATTCACGTTCAATGGCAGCTCAAGAAGCGAGGGTATCAACACATTGACGCTCTTGATGCCTCTCAGGAGTGCCTGGACTTTAGCCGAGCAAAGCAGGCATATTCTGACTACTTCTGTGACTTTATTGGGGAGAATCGCCTGCCTTTTCAGGACGGTAAATACAATTCCTCTTGTCGTTGACGAATAGGGCGTAGATATTTCACCGAAGTATTATACGCTTCTTACAAAATTACTGAAGTTCACCCCACTTTAGTGGGTGGAAACATTGGCCTATTTGAGGTATGTGGCGAACAGAATGGGAAGGCGTTATTTGGTTTCGGTAAAATCATTGTGTTTACTCTAAATTGATCCTCTTCAAACATCGCCCTCCTATTGCGTTAGCAGTGTGTCAAAAGGGCATGCTATGTGTAATGTAATATACCGCTATGGCACAAGCAGGTCCTTCTTGGAGAAGACAGTCAAGCACCGGGAAAAGGGTGCTTGTTACTGAAAAATTGATAATATATGTTGAAAAAAGGACAGAATTTTCAGATAACTCTTGGCACTTTGTGTTTCTCAGTAAGCGTCGTTGCAGTATTTTGTCTGTCATTCTGATCTTGTTTTTTTCGGGTCGATCAGACACTTATGATGGGATCTGCATGAGTGCTGCATTTGGAAACACCCATGTTCGTCCGGACTGTTTTAGGGAGCTGCTTCGCATCACGAAACCAGGTCTGTATTTACAAGCTACCTTGAAGCACTGTTTTCGAGATCCTCTTCGATATCTAAAGTCCTTGGTGTTATGAAAACTCTGAAAAGCTCAAGGTGTAGAGCACGGCGTGACGTTGATTGCGCACAACATGGTTCGTATACTGGTGGCTGAAAACAGCCGGCAACACCAATGTAAATCTGAAAGCGCGCGACCTTCTATAGTTGTCACGGCAGCGTTAACGTCGACAATTCTGTGTTTGGTTGGTGAAACTTACTTCAAAATTAACATGTCTTAGCACGCGTAACAATTTCGACAGACCGTTGTACACTGAATGTTCACTCTAAACGACATACAAAATATATCCTGAAAATGTGAAGTGTTTTGATATTAACGCCGGGTTTCTGCTAACTTGTTTGTTTCAGGGGGCTACATAATTTTCAACGTGCGTGAGGAAAATTTCGTTCTTGACGAATGTATAAAAAATGGAAAACTGGACGATGTCATTCACAAATTGGCCGCCGAAGGAATTGTTGCGTATCTCGAGAAAAAGCGATGTATTTACATGGAATGCAAACACAACGACGTAGTTGAGTATTGCTTCACGTTCGTCTTGAGGAAGATGAAAGTTAGCGTGAAATAAGTGGTAGATCCAGCATTTACAAATAGAGAGGGCGCCCGACGGAAGTTACAAAAAAGGGAAGGCCTCCATAATGGAGGTGAATCAAAACATACAATTGGGGCTTATACTTGTATTAATAATTGTTGCCTTGAAACTGATTAAATAACCAGGTTGACAACAAACAGAAAAGCCAGGTAAAAGCAGTGGCAGCTCATTAAAAACAACAGAACGATAACAACGACAAAATAAAAAATTGGCGGGGCGCCCCCCTGTGGATCAGCTACTAGCGATTACTAGTCAGCAGTTAGTTAGAAGAAGCTTATTTTAAAATATTGTTTTAATTCAGAAGTTGAAAACAAACAGTGATGCTGACCAATGATACTAAATGCAAATTTGTTTTGATATTGAAACCATATTATTTCAGAACATAGCACCTTACCCTTTGAGGTACTATTGTGTGGCACCTCTATGATCCAGCTGGTCTTTAGAATTTATAACTATTAATCAGTTGTAAACAAATTTGCCCCATCTATGAGAGTCAAGGTTCTTGTTATATAACCAGCACGTCAGAATCTTTGAGCGGCGATTTACTTTTTAAAAAGGGTGAATGAGAGAAACGAAGCTTGAGCATACATGGACATCGTTTTTAGTCGGTCAAGAAAATTTTGACAGCATATGCCATCTCAAACGATGTCTGTTATGACGCCTGGTTATCAGTTCTGCGAATCCAGAGATGACTAGGACAAGTGGCCACGGAAAAAAAATCGCCGAAAGATGGCCTTCTCAGAATTTTATTGGCCGTCGGCCAAAAAGTTCCCCCGAAATATGCACAATCTAGTGACAAGTTTTTAAAAATTTGGACATCGTCACTTTATGCCCCAGTGATTGGACTGGTAATAGTTCCCAGCACCTCCGAGCGGGTAATGAAACCGGAGGAATCCTGCCTGTTTTATGTTAATGGGGAAAAGAGACCTGCCTTGATGCACACATCAAAGCAGGAGTGGATAGAATATTTTGCCTTTTCTTCTTCGCTACCAAAAAATGACTTCACCATTAAAATTTCACACAAACAACCCACTGATTTGAAATAAATTGTCACTCAAAATGATATATCAATGATATTCATTGAAAAAAACATACTTGATCAACAAAGGATTAACAAGGATAGCTGCTTATGTATTACTCGCCTTTCTGCTGAGACGCAATTCATGTTAAAGCATTGCTATTTGCCTAAAAAACTCAAATAGGCCTATTCAGCATTTAACATTTAACAGGGCTTATCGCATGCGTTAAACTGCAGCTAGCTACAGGTCCCTGAATCCCTGTATAACAGGGACGGAGACCCGTCCAATCGCAGCGGGTATTTTAAAGATGTTAATACAAGATCACGGGACGCGTTGTCGAACAACAGCAATAGAGAAATAGTCTCAGGTGTTTATGACTTTGGGTTAATGGTGTTCCATTTCTTCCATCCCGCTCATTTCCCCAAGATGACCTTTTAATACCTCGTCACTCTTCGCTTTCTTTCTGACTGAACACACTAACTTATTGAAGAAACGAAAGGAAATAAATATTTTAATAAACTGAGAAGCGTTTAACATTGTCATCTATAGCAACCCAAATTGCATCTTTGAATAATGAAATGTGAAGAGACATATTTATTGAGCAGGTAGCCCGGGTCCCAGTAAGTGCCCAGCTTCAGGCGTGAAAGGTGGATTAAATCACGGGGAAGAAACAATAATTTATGTGCCTAAAAGTCCTAATTTCATATGGATCAATTGTTGAAATTGATGGTTGAATATTTATGAGGTGTAGTAAACAAATACAGCATGGTGTATTTGGGAAAATAGTTGGAATTACTGGTCCCGAGGTGGAGGTGAGTTTGACTACCTCCGGACGCTCTTCTCACTGCTTGCCCTCACACCATGCGGTATTTGTATTTTGCCACTTACAACGATTGTTCACATTATCAATTTTATGAATTTGGTGCTTATGCCCGATTAGACATTTTTAACTGGAAATTTTGCCCTCCAACTTCACATTAAATTTGTTAATTATTACTGTCTACGGATGAGGCAAGAAGTTTATCTTGGTATTGTGGAGAAATACTGGTTACTGATAGGCATTACCCCTACGGGTTTTTATAATATTTACTCTCGATTGTTAGAGCAGGGCTGCAAACTTGAAACTCTTTCAATGTTATGTTGACGAAAAAGTGGGCAACACCTACTAAATGGTTGATCGCCTAATTTTAGTTTACTATTCATCAGCTAGATAACATTACCATCTATGCCAAAAACTGAAGCAAAATCAAGGTTCAAATCGATGTATGTAGTAATCACGGGGAATGCTCAGTGCACGGTTGTTGTATTTGCCATCAGAAAGGCAAACCACTATGCCACACCTAATGTTGCAAAATTCAGTGTGTGCGATGTTCACAGTGTATGTGCATTTATGTTACATTAATTTTTGTGATCGATGTGGATGTCAAATATGTACGTGCAATACACTATTATGATTATATCCCCCTCGAAAAAGTTGCCCCAAAGTAACATTTATGACTCCCAAAGATGTCTGATATTTTGTTTTCCTTATCAAATTTAAGCTTAGTTTTATTTGCTTTACTTATAAAGAAAAAATGTATTTGAAGGTAATCTTTACTTGACAATTTCTATTTATGGCAGTTTACACTGTTAATGTGATTACTGAATTCATATCCTACATTATCGCACAATTGTTTGGGTTCTTCACTTCTTAGGAATTTATGCCTAGTTTTAAACTTGCTGAAATTATCGTATATTTTCAAAATATTGCAGTTTCAGAAATTGTTCACAGAAATCAACTTCAGTTTAACTGATCCACAAAAATATGTAGTTGGTAACAAGGCGTTGGTCTTATTTACATGAACCACTTTGAACCATTTTATGATCCTGTTTGTATTTTTTTGATGGAAAGAAATAAAAGAGGTTTTAATATTACAAAACAAACCCTGATCTGTTCGGTGTCCTCATTTTGCGAGCATTTCCATTGAGCACATGTGTTACAGGGTATTAAATTGGATTAAATGATTGCTGTGGGCAATCCTGCTGGACAGAACAAAAAGCAGTTGTGTTACGTAATCGAGCTTATCTCCCCATAGTATCATCAGATTTAAATGAAGCGCCCAGGCTTACAAAAAGATACTGGTAAGATTCTGATTTAATTTAATACCAGAGATAATTTCCGACACTTGTCTCGGGCTGGGTTGGGTTTTGGGGACATCTGCATTGCCAAATACATGTACGCAGTGTGACTGTACAGTCCGATATAACTCTGAGTACACGATGTTTCAACTTGAATCTATATGCTATGTATGTATGGCTTAATTTTCACATGTACGCAATGTTTGTGAATGTATGATTTTTATAGAAACAGGTTCAATGTTCATGTAATAATGTACGAGTGAATTGTTGAAATAAGGGGCCTATACTCTGGTTTTATTGAAATAAGAATATGTGCCCTTCAGTTTAAATCTATTATGCGATATTTTGACTTGTAATTGATTTATTTATTGTGCTCAGTCGTCAGGTAGAAGTCATATCCTGCAGGGTAGGCAGCCAGCCAGGCGGTAAATACTGAATTGTGGGATGTGGGGTTATAGTTAACTTTGGCGGACTTCAAAATTGGCTAGGGCTGGAAATAGCACACGGCTCTACGGAGAATGGCAGTGTAGCCGTTTTCATATGGCCTTGCAGGACTCGCTCAATCGGCTGGTTTTTACCTTACAAAGAGACGTGGCGGGAACCAGTCCAATGAGGGCAAGTCTGGCCCTTTTTGGAACTAGAATTTCATTGTTCATTCTTTATCTATGGACATGGCCAAAGCAACAGGATCATCTGATTAATCTACTCATGACGGAGTTATTCGGTACTGGGCCGGTTTATGATGTCCACTTAAGAACAACGTTCATGATGTCCACTTATAAAGGCTGGTTCATACTTCAGGCTGATGCGAAAGAGAAGCGAATTTGACGTCACGCAAAATTGCAGCAAAATTCGTTGCAGTCGAAGTGTGTTCAAGTTTTACAAATTCGCCTTTACTCAGGATTTTGTGAACCTATCCCAACAGAAAAATAACAGTTGCTTGACAAAAATGAAATAATGGTTCATATCAATGCAGAAAAATCTGCAGGTGCTTAGTTGTAGGCACGTCCTGTACTGAGGCATTCAGCCAAGCGATGCCAATAATTATTCACTGCTGATGTTTGGCATTCACTTGGCAATACAATCTCAGTTTCATATATGAAGAGATGGCTGAAATTCTGCGTCAAAACTTGGCTACTGCTGGCACACATGAAGGCCGTAAATCCGGGAAGGGGTGTTTCGAAATATGGTGCCTTGTGGAGACCCGGGAGAATGGGTTGAATAGGTCTCCACAAGGAATTTCTAAGGTGTATACATGTAGGTCTCCGCAAGGATTTCACGAAACCGATATTTGGAAATCGCTCAAAAAAGGAGAAATTTTTAGTGAGTTAGAATTTGGCGCGAATTGGAGTGTGTCATGATTATAAGGGACATTCGGTCGGAAATTTCAGTCCAGGAGAGTGATTCATGTTGAAGTGTGGGAGCATTTTGAAAACATCGTTTCACACGCGACCGTATTCGTACTGGAGAACAAAGCGATGTCTCCACAAGGATACAAAGTTCGGAATGTGTGAATACACCACCGCATGCACTACCCTACCGCTCCAACTTCAGACGTTGGAACATAAATGGCTGGTCGTTATGTGTGCAGATAGTATGCAGCTATTGTGTTCGATGTGCACTGCATGTACTGATACCTTATTCACAATTTTGGTTCCAACAGTAAAGCCACTCATGTGAAACGTGCGTCCTCCCGTGAAATGGAACACTTCATCTGTCACTGAATAAAATTGTTCTTACCGTTTACCTGTCACGTATGTTCATGCCCGGGCACATGCGTACTGAATCCTACTATAGCCAGAAGAAAAGCCAGGAAAATGGCTCATGAACCGGACAAGTGGACCCCAAAAGCAATCAACGTCAAGCTCAGATATAGTTGTTTGCCCCTCATTTCCATACTGATTAGTAAAAACACTCAAAGTCCCTTTTGCTAACTTGCACAAGATAAAAATCCATTTCCTGCCAAATTTTTGCACGTCTTTGTCACGTACCTCTAAAGTAACAAAGTCTGAAGTTTGAAGTGAAACAACATGTTAGAGGGTTTTTTCAGTTTTGCCGGGATTTCCCTGACATTTCTCTACGGGTGAATTGTGAAGAATATCATGAACGCTCTAAATGAGAAAGTATCGTACAAGAAGGAAACTGTACGAATGAGAACAGAAAGTTTTTGTTTGTGCCTTTTAGTCGGGTAATTTGACGTCATTGTACGTATTAGTGCAATGCAGTAAAAGTTAACTCGTACAGGAACGCACTCATATCCAGGGGTGTGCGCGTGTACGTGTAGGCCATGCCCAAAATCCGGACATGTCGGACTCAGTGTGGAAATTTGAATCCTCATGAAAAACAAACTGCATTTCAGACAAATGGCTGTCAATCGTGAAGAAATGAGCTGATGGCAGTATCACCGATACCGATGACCTGAAGGGAATTTGACAAAAGAGTGGAAACCGGACACTAAGTTAGGTGAAAAACATGAAAAATGACAAAAATGGGTCCCAATAAAAAACAAAATAAGTTTTAAAAAGGTTTTCTGTCAAGAAGTAATGAACGTTTTTGATCAAAAGAGTTACTAGTCTTTCATTTGGCATCAAAGTTATTTGAAGGTAAACCCGGCAAAATTGTAAAAATTAGACGCAATGTTAGATTTAAAATTTAAAACGACGATTTAAAACGACGTAACAACGAGGATATTACCCTCGTGCCCACTCCCTTCCCGCCAGTGGGTAAATGTAAGGGATACCAGGAACGCCCACACTCCGGCCTTATTATGTTTGCCTTTCTCCATAGAAAATGACGTATGTTATCTCTCTTTTTTTTCAGAATCAAAGCAAGATTTTCAACAAAGATTTGAATTTTCTCTTCACCCATGGAGCAATTTCGATGTGTTTGGCTACTTTTCCGTGTCTACGTTTTGCCCAGTTCTTCTTATAGTTTCATTGAATTGACGCAAGCTTGGGTGCATCTTCTAGTTGTGCCAAGATCATATTGGTCCTGAGGTGACAGATCTGTTAGGATGACTGCTCCATGTGTGTGCGGTCCAGCACGTTATCTCAGTCCGTTTAAAACGTTATCAAAGATGCTTGTATAATCTTGCCTACAAATTTTCTTGTGTTCTTAATTTTTGTAGCGCTATAAGCAATTTCAGGCGGATATGTGCGCTTTATAAAAATCATTGAACCCCAACATTTGTACCGTAATCCAAGGTTGCTCATTCTTCAATCGAAATAGCAATATAGTATGGGCATTTCAGAATGAGTCATACATAAGAACGTGTAAGGATCAGTGAACCTCATTTTGAGTGGTTTATATAATGGTTCGAAAATTGCTAACCATACTTAATTAAGTTGATACAGCATTCCTCAATTTCATTGAGTCCTATGGTAGTGTTAGTCCCGAAGGTTTCGCTGCAATGACACACGTAATAATGATACCAAAGCGCAAGAGGAAGAGAATACTCGTACATGACTATCCAGCATGGACCGTTGACGGCACAGTACTCTGATGAAGTTGATCATACAGCATACAGTCCTGTGGCGGTTTTAATCAGACAGGTTTTGCTGCAATGACACACGTATGATAATGACTTCAAGGCGTACGGCAAGAGGAAAAAGAGTGTGTATCCACTGAGCACTGACGGTGTTGACTCCACGAATACTGTTAGTGTTTCATGCGTCACGTAGCCAAAACCCGTGCACAGGTGAAAAGAAAGGCGTGGACTCAGGCGAAGGGTTAACAGAGATTGAGACTCGGGACTCAATGTTCGTGCAACATTGGGAAATAGTTTAAGTCAGAGAATAGAACTTGGAACTATAGATTCATGCAAAATTGGGCGAGGCGAATCTTCGCACATATACAGTCATCGTCCATTCTCTATGACTGAATCATGAAAACATTGCGTACAATAATCAACATAGCGTACTAGGACAGCCAAAGGACAACCTCAACCTCTGACCTGAACTAAACTACTAATGGTAACCCGTTAAAAAAACTAATTAAAACTAATTAAAAAAAAAACCACGCACCGTAGTCTAAAAGTGGTGCTGTTAAAATGGGGGAGAAATCAGTTTGTTGTGGTTACACGTTTTGATCTGTAGAGTGAGATATTATCTACTTGAACAGTTGAACAGTGCAAGTGCCCTGAATCGATTTCACCAGGCGAAATAAAAAAATCAGCATTATTTTGTGAATTGAAGTGAAAATCGTGTTAAGATAGTCGAGAAAACTTATATTACTCCCGTTTACTGATGTTGTTGTACATTTTGTAAATAAATGTATTCTGTAGATAAATTAATGGTTCAAGGTCCGCCTTGCTTCTCATGTGATTGTGTCGGAATACTCAGGGTATTAGGGTAATAGACAAGCTAACACATTGCGTGACCTCAGAGGGTAGGATGACCCGGGTTTGTGAGACGTACTGCTGGGGATTCTGATTTTGTCCTGACAGCTGAATTTGTGCCCAATTCCCAGACGCCACCGCTTTAGAATTTCAGACCCAATAAACTTCATGACACCGAAATTGTTCGAAAAGTTCAACACCATGTAGGCCTATTAGGAAGGCAACAGTACTGGTATTTGAATGAATTTGAAGGTGTCCATGAGGAAATCAAAGGAAACGTTGAAGTGCACCACGTTCGCCTGACTTCTTCTTGTTTTGTTTTCATGGCGCTTTCAGCTACTCAAGCTAGTTGCAGCAATAAGTACACGTTTATGCATAACTTTTATTCATCAGCTGAGCATCACACTACGGAGTTAGGAAGAAGGTCCAGTTTTAGAAGCAGGATCTATGAGAAAACCGGAGAAAACCTGCGAGAGCCAGTATGGACTGGAAACCAAATGCCAGGACTCAAACTTCGCCGGACTTCCAGTCGCCTTCGATCCGGTTTAATCTCCGAGCTGTTCTCCATTGGACAATAAAATGATGCGCCTGACTGACTTTAACCACAGGCCATTATACTAGACTGGCTACGCTTTACATACGAATAAGGTAAGGTCGGGTCCTTTCCATACTGCGGGCCACTGTCCCTGAATTCTCCCTGAGGCCTGGCCCTGTATTAAGCAAGTTTAGAGGTCATAGCCGCCATGATGCCACGAGTTTACTTGGATTTCCTTTACACTGCCCTGGGCAACTGAACGAATATCGTGATCTGAGAAGCATTATATTGTACAGTAGTTGACCATTTCTCACGAAAGACTGCTGATTACTGTAATCATTGCTAGCAATTGCTGCTATATCATCGTCACTAGGGGAAGAATATCGAGCGATATGGCCGACATCGACATGGAAAGAATTGAAAGGGAACTGGCGGAGCGAAGGGAAATTTGTAGGAAAAAGGAATCGGTCCCCCCAAAGGAGTTCCAGAAAATGATGCAGGATATGTATGCGAATTGGATTGAAAATAACAACTATGAAAAGGTAGGTCCAGTTGTACTGTTTGAGGTATTACAATGTCATCAATGTGAAGAACAAAGAGAAATGGGCCTAATACTGAACCTTGGGGTATCCCTCACTTAATGAGTTGACTGTTGGAATTAACAGATTTAAATGAGACATACTGTTTTCTGTTACACAGAAAACGTTTTAGTAGGTTCAGGGCTGTTCCTTGCACACCGTAATGCTCTATTTTCTGATTCAACTATTGTGATTATATTATCAAAAGCTTTTGATATGGCTAAAAATACACCTATGGCAAAGTTATTTTGATCTATTACATACAAGTTTACTAATAACATAATTTATGGTACGCCAGTTCAGTTGAGCGCTTTTGTCTAAATCCAAATTGTGATTCAGAGATAATATTGTGCTTATCAATTAAAGATGCTAATCTCTGATAAATAAGTTTCCCAAATATTTTTGAAAATGTACATAGAACTGATATAGGTCTGTTGGTCGTTACGTCTTGTTTACAACCTTTTTTGTAGATCAGCGTTCCTTAAATTTTGAGACCACCAGAAACCTTGCCTGTTTGATGACATCCAGAAGCCTTACTGGAGCGAAGCTTATTAACACAACTGACGACCTCTTATTATGTAATGGGTGTGAAAAACAGTGATTTCGAATTGTGTTTCTTACGAAGGAATCGCTGGATATGTAGAGGCTACCTCAAGTGTTAACTAAATAGTTATTAAATGCCTCAGCAATATCCCTCTTATTGTTGATTTCAGTGCCATCTTTGAGAAAATAAGAGGTTGATTCACCTTGTTCACGTTTCATAAGTAAAGAATAAATAACTGTCCAAGTACCCTGAATATTTCCCTAAGCTTTATCCAATTTTGCATGTAGATAGTCTTTCTTTGCAACCTTGATCAGGGAATAATGTTTTTCTATACAGAGACTGAAATAATTTGTTTGTTCTCAGTTAGGATTCTCAAAATGATTTCTTTGTCTAATAGAATTATACCATCAGTTAACCACGGGGTTTATTTTTGCCATAACGATGTTTTCCTCCAGCAAAGGAAACCTTTTATAATACACTTGTTGAACTCGTAATAAAAATGAATAATACATACAAAGAATATCACTGGTTGATATTGCAGAGTCCCAATCGATCACATTCAAGTCACCAATAACGTTTTCGACGTTATCGGGTTTAATTAAAGTCGCAATGCACAAGTCCTCACTGTTGCACTGCCTATAAACAACATGGCATTGCATAAAACAGTGTCACTGTAGAGATAAACGGCCCGAATGCACCAAGCACCACGGGCCCCGGCAGCCCAAATCTACTATCCGCAAGTGAACGGCTGGACTGCGCAACCTGTGTTCTGCTGTACACATAATTCTGCGCCGTTTCCGTCACGTCACAGGACATGTACATGTACACACAGTCACTGCACTGGTAATGCAGTCTTCATTACAACTATTACAGTCACCGATAAGTGACAAAATTGAATTGTTTCCTTATTATTGAGACGTTTGTATTAACCCTAACAGTCCCAAATCCTCCAATTTCAATACAATTTTACGTACACCTTTGGGGTTAGGGTTTTAATATTATTATTATAACAACCCAATCAATAAAGTGTAGAAAACAGTTTGCCCCAATCTCATCCAACGTAAATTAAAGGCCTGTACCCCCTAAGTGGAAGTGGCACACCGTGAATCCAACATTAGATACATAATGCATGGATGAAAGGAAATGGCCGTTCAGTTTCAGAAACGACCTTTGGGAAGTTTCTGCGAAGTAAAACTGTGACACTGTTCTTTGACCTGTTCAGGATATGGTTGTTCTCGGTTTCCTGAGTCACATTGCGGTGGCGGAGACAGTGTCAACATTCCTCCCTGACAGCGACAGCCGATTGCTGGACTGCGCATCTGGAACAGGCCTGTTGGGGGAAGAGGTACTCAACACCAGAGCTCATATGAGGGCTTATTTCTGATTTTGAAAACAAAATACGTGAATATAATAATACAGCAGTATACCAGCAACCCGTGTTCAATGGACCATTCAGTACCAGTATATTTCCAACATGCGTGACACAGGTGGCAATTAAACTCTAGCTCTCTCTGTACAAACAGCTGGGCTCAACACAACTCCCATTCGCTCCAACTGGATCTTTTACTAAAACATTCGGTAAAGAAGTACATGTACGTGCATGAGCATTCCACGTGGTTTTCTCTTGATAATGTGTATAGTATGTTTTTTGTCTCTGTATTTGGTATTGATCCCCATAACATGTCCTGTCTCAATTTTCATCTTTATTCATTGGCAGCTTAAGAACCGAGGGTATCGGCATATTGACGCTCTTGATGCCTCTAAGGAGAGCCTGGACTTAAGCCGGGGAAAGCAGGCATATTCGAACTACTTCTGCGACTTCATTGGGCCAAATCGCTTACCTATTGAAGATGGTAAAGTGCCGGGCATTTATTGTCAATAAATGTCGCTTTCAAAAAAACCCGTGAACTTGTGGTTTTCCACTGGGTTTCTTATGCTACGTCGTGTATCTAGAGTAACGAATAAAATAAATTATAGAGTCCCCGCTGCCAAGTGGTAATCATTAACTGTTTTTGTCTTTTGGTCACAGATACTTATGACGGGATCGGCATCAGTGCCGCCTTTGGAAACACCCATGTGCGTCCAGACTGTTTTAGTGAGCTGCTTCGCATCACGAAACCAGGTCAGTACGTATTTACTTTCAAGCAAGATCCCCTTAGCAGCAGTACTGGAGTAGGCCTACAGGCTACATGCGCGAACCGATGCATGGCGATACCAAACTGGGACAAGCACGAGAGGCGGAGCTTGTCACTTTTATTGCCGACTACATGGTCGCACATGTCGCTCGTACAGCATGCATGAATAATTTTTATCTTAATGTACACAACCCTTTTACAATTTTCGGAGCATGGTAGCACTAGTGACGTTAAACTAGCCCAGTAAGAAGCGGGTGAAAATGTTCTGTCCGTTTCCACTCGGAATTCCTTATTCCTTCCCACGAGATATTATTTCGTTTCTTTTGCACGAATTACTTATTTTGTCAAGCCATGCATTATTTATCAGTAAGCACAAATTACTCAGTCGTTCGCGCAAACTACACCGGACAGCAAAAAAACTTGCCACTTCTGTCAAAGGCAACACATAAAAATTCACTCCATAGAAATAAACAATTTTTGTACACAGGTATGCTGCAATACCCCTTTCTAATCACATGCCCAAAAGCAAGTGATTTATCTTTATAAAAAAAATTGACATGCACAGCAACTTGGTTACTGAATCAAAAGTCACACACAAAAGCACTCTCCACCAAGTAAAAATGACCCATGAATGGACAGCATTTTAAACAACCAACGACAAAGTAAACACCTGTTTTGTCAAAATGATGTGCATGAGTGGTTTCTGTATAGGGATGCCATCCTTACTGACTATGCACACACATTATTGAAAAGTAATGATTGTGACCTCTTTATTTCGTCCTGTGACATTGATTTCTGTGTAAAACTGACGGCTCATTCTATTACATTCTGTGACTTTTAATTCAGTAACCAAGTAGCTGTGCATGTCAGTTTTTTCTTTATTATAAAGATAATCACTTGCTTTTGGGCATGTGATTAGTAAGGGGTATTGCAGCATACCTGTGTACAAAAATTGTTTATTTAGTGAGTGAATTTTTATGTGTGGCCTTTGACAGAAGTGGAAGGTTTCTTTTGCTGTCCAGTGTACTTTACACAACAAGAGTGTGTGCACGTATGTTATTCACGCACAGGAATTTGCTTTAGTAACTTGAGCGAACGAATTAATAATTCTTGCACAAGAATTAGGAATATTCGTGGGGATGAAAATTATTAGTGGAAATGTTGTTCCACGTATGTTAGACACACCAGCATTCACTTTTCACTGTGACAAAAACACGAAATGTGTCATAAAAAAATCAATGCGAATTAAGGTTAATGCCAAGTTTCTACTGCTGTCTGTATTCCAGGGGGCTACATAATTTTCAACGTGCGTGAGGAAAACTTCATCCTTGACGACTGTATGAACAATGGGAAACTGGATGACGTCATCCACAAAATGGCTGCCGATCGAAGTGTAGCGTATCTGGAGAAAAAACGGCATATTTATATGCAATGCGAACACAACGGAAAAACTGAGTATTGTTTTGTGATCGTCTTGAGGGTGATTTAAGTTAGGTAGTTACCTGTAGTTATAAAAAGAGGGGCGCCCAATATTTAAAAAAGGGGAGCAGGTGGTGTGTGAACCCAAACATACAATTGCGGGCCATAATATTTCAGTCATAGTTTCTGCTTTTAAAATGATTAATGAAAACAACCGTGCTGACAGGAGCAGAAAAAAGGGCAAAAGGAAAGAGTCTCAACTAAAAAGCAATTAAGAACAATTATTAACAATAAAGAAAAGTAGGCATTAAAGAGCCGATACGTGTCGTCAGTAAGCAGGTGATAGCGGTTTACATTTCTGATATTTTTCTTTAGAAATTGAAGCGACAAACAACAATGCTTCTGTGTTATTGAGATCACATTCTTTCAAAAGGAAATCGCTACTGCTCATGGATTCGCTACTAAATGTCTTGCTTGTCAACCCAATATTTAAGCTATCGACTTTCATAATGACCAACAGTGATCATCGTAACAGACAATGAATTTGATTCATAGATCATCCAGACCCGGTTTAGGGTTCTCGGTATATAACCAACACTAGCAATTTGTGAGAGAAGCTAATTTAATCACTAAAAAGGATGAATAGAAAGTAGAAAGGAAATGGTTTAACGTGTGACTGCATTTTTCTTAGGCACAATCTTTCTATAACTCTGTGCTCTTCTTCAATGTATGAATTACTCTTGTACATTCCTATTCGCTTAAATGCAATAAAAAGTGCAGTTTGTAAACCCTTGGAATTATCTGTACTTTCTAGGACAACTGAGGGCACTGTTGTTGTGTTATTAGCCATGGAAGACACGGTTCACCACACAGGCTTTTCTGGAATTGTAAACCAAGAAAAAAACCTACTTTAGGGAATGATGCTTTTTTATTGCTATGCAAATGATCAACAATGAATCAGCATCGTGGATAGGGAAATACTTATTAGCATAACAAATAACAAAAAGCAGTAAAATACCCTTTGAAGTAGTGAAACAAACTTGAAAATAAGGTCAACTGAGAAGAAAATGTGCATTTTGAAGGGTTGAATTAAAATAAATTGATTGCAGCTATTCTATTGTGTCGTCATGAAATTACAGTGGTTTCACGTATTCTTTACAGTTACACAATACTACAGTCGGGTGCCCATCATTTCGATAGAATGAGTGTGACATTCCTGTAGTTAGTCATGACGTCTTGGTGCTTGTCCTGTTAATCAAGTTCCAGAAATAACGAGGACAGTCCAGTGGTCAGGCCGGCAATTTCATGTAGGGAGAGATATGTCACTTCAGACTTGAAATAGTATCAATAACACACAGAACGTCTTTCTCACACGTTTAAAGACGTGATAAATGAAAATAAATCCATTAGTTATAGGCCCAATTCTTTTGTGGTCGGAGCGCAGCTTTTGCGATGCCAAGCTCATCCAGGCTTTATGCAATTTGTACGAAACTTCAGGGGTTATAGGGGTTTTAATTACGTCTGAAAACAGGCCGATAAAAAGAAGACAAATTTCCTTCCATTTGCGGTACCGGTACTCAAGGTCGCACAAGTTGACACCTCGCTCATCGTGCTTAATGTCGTGAACAAGTTGTTCTACTTCTTGATAAATTATTTTTAAAAAAAATCTTGGGTATAAAATGAACGTCGTAATTGGAGAATCTTGCCGCTATTACATTTTATGATTACGTTTTCCCCTTTGATCTAAGCTGCACGAATATTCGCAGGTATAGCAGCCAAGCGAGGACAGCGGCAAGATACGTGCACGTAGCATAATGGATCGTATGAATAAAAAGTAGCGTTTGCTTTTACTCCCATTTTTGAAGCATTTACTCGTGTAAAAAGTAAAAGTATTTATTTTTTACTCTTTAAGCTTGTGCTTGACAATGAGCAGTTGCTTCATTTTTTTATGAATAAAAATGAGAAGTTCTACAGAATTGGAGTATTTACTTGACATTTTTCAAGACTGGGTCAGGGTAAGCTTGAAAACGAGGAGCATTTACTAATGTTCAAAATGGTAGCGTTCATGAATGTCATTCGAAACGAAAAGTTGTATGCCTTTAGGGGGGAATCTCAAGAAACCGGATGCAGGCAGTTGTACCGATTTGAGAGTGGCAGAGAAAGTTTCTTCAAGGTTTTGCTATCAAAATTACTGCCACTGTGCTTATCTGCCATGCTGAGGCCTCACGATATCGCACCGTGCTGCACTTTGTGTGTCTGTACGTGCAGACAACGGAAGCCCTATTGTGCCAAACTGTTCGGCTGTGAAGTCGGCCACAAGCATAAAGCATTTGCTACTATTTGTACAAGCAGATGCTGAACAGTAAAAGAAACATTTTCTTCATACAAATTCAAGCAATTGCGTATTCTTAATGCTTTTATTTCTGAGTAAATGCTTTTGCTTGAACTTCATAGCATTTGCTAGGTTTTATTCATACGACCCATTGTCTAAGGAACAGGAGACGTGCAAGAAGTTGAACATCCCCGTCTCTCAGATCCGTCATCAAGGGCCCGTTAGTTTCGGTCTGTGACCCAAAAGCTCAT